CTTTTATGTCTCTTGCTAGCATGCTTCGACTCGGTCCCAACGTGGGCTCAAGCCAATAATCTTCTCAAAACTAATCTTCCACTGGTGGCCCACGTCTATGATCCAATAAATCAGTACGAGCCTCAAGGTACAGTAGAGGGGGGATCTCTTCCGATACTCCAGATCGCAGATCTTCGGAAGTTCCGCAATAATCACCCGCTTGCTCTTTTCCTTCAATACTCTCATGGACGTTAAATTCACAACCATAATCAAAATCTCGTTCATTACTGTATTCTACTAGAATCACAGCTCAACGATAATGTGGATCGATAAGATCTTCTACAGAAATTATTACCTACGTGCTCTGCACGTAAGTATTTGAAGCCAAGTACGAAACTTCAATTTGGCGGAATAGCGGCTTCTAAACTTGCTTAAACGATAATCTCTTGAGTGATCAGGTTTAAGCTATTGTATTAGCTCTAACAGTATTTTACTAGAGACGTGTACATCTCAAACTGCCTGTATGTCGAATCCCGGGCTCCAGGGTTGGACGAACTGTGCGGCAGAGCACTAGCCTAGCGTGGTGATGGGCCTGCCATGGTGAAGCCAAAAAAATGCGAACGTGGTCGATGTAGTCCACCGACTGAACACCGCAGAGCTCGCGGGTGTCACCACGTCTGTGGTTAAAATCGCACGGCTTACCTCGTTCTCTTGTCCGCCATGGTCGTGTAGTTCACCATCCCCTAATCACGATAATTGAACCGCAGAGAGAGCCAATCCGACGCCATAACGTCTATGGAGCCCGCAGCTGTACAGTACAGTAGAGGGTACGAGACGGATGGTGGCCCATTGCTGGGACCCGGTTTCGGACCTTTTCCGCGCGCGGGTCGGGTCCCGCCGATGCCTTCGAAATCACGAGCTCTCTACACGTGTCGATATTCCGGACGCCGCAGCCCCCAAAAGGCTATCCGTCATCCACTTGGCGTCGCGGGTACGAGCCCCGCTGCTTGAAGCAAAAGCGCGACGGCGCGAGGTAAATGTGCCGACCCGGGCAGGGATTTGGGGACTACCGGTAACTCCGGTGGAAGTAAGCAATGTCTACGTGGTTCAGCAAATTCGAGCCTCCAGTGGCAATGCTTGTAGTATTCTCGTGAATCATTGCTGAAACATAGTAGCCCCACAATAGAAGAACAATCGAAGGATAGGGCTGGGGACTGCCTAGAAGTCCTGGTTCTAGAACCCACAGGTTTGCCATCATTAGGACGTTTCAGATCAAAATACTCGATTTTAATGCTCGACCAGATGTACAAAGTGAATCGACAAAAAGTATGAGAAGAGCCCCATCAAGTTGTACCCTAAACTCGATTTTAATTGCTTTTTGTCAAAAGCAATGAAACCACTTGCTCTGCTTGCAATTGTGCAGAGCAGTGAAAGTTTGTCTTACGGGCTGGATGAAGCAGAAACAAATGATTGCAGATCGTAACATTCAAGTTTCAGATGACAAAGTACAGTGGCTTCCTCGTTGATTAGCTATTTATAAATGGCAGCGGTCCTTGTCTTGTTTTTTGCTATCTTACTCGCGCCAATTTCCTTGTCTTGTTCTATCAGGAAGGAAAGTTAAGTCTGAGGAGGCCACGTGTTCCTCAAAACTCCCATTAAATGTTGCCCTCCCAGTAAAAATAATATTCGGACTATGTTTCGTGTCATGAGGGAAGAAATAGTCCATAGAAAAAAATCTTGCGCACAAAACACAGCACGGGAATAGGACGGAGCGTTGGGACTCGAGGAGGCCTTCTCGCTTGCAGGTCATGGGCTCCAAGCGACACAGGTCAGGATTCCTGATCGAAAGAATCATTGTACATGAACCCACCAAAAACGGATCCAATCGAAAAACGAAGAAGAAGTGGGAGAAGTTAGTTACCAGCGAAATGCAAGGTAGAAGAAGTCCACCCGACAAAATACGATGCACTGAAATTGATCCCAAATCATTGCATATAAAACTACTGATTATAAATTGTCCTGTCCGATACACGGATCGTGGATACATATATTATATTTATGTATCAAAATATCTAAGAAAATGGATATTTTACATATATTCAGTGGAAACCGTAATCTTCGAGACATGTGCTTAAATCGCAGGTTGAAAAGCAAGGGATTCCACCAGGGTGGTCCGGTCCTGCTTCCAATGATGCAATGTCATCCATTAAACATCCCTGCCATTCATAGATTTTGTCAAAATGTTATCTTTTCATGATGCTTGCGTTTTTTGTTGTATTGTGCATTCTCTCGATGCAAGTAGACTTGCATGCGATCTGCATGTCTCCATCCCTAGTACGATCTGTATACGTCAGTTGGGTCCTACCGTTACATTGGATTCGAACCAGCCGGATAATGTACGCGCTAAAACACTACTAGAGCATTGTGCTTTTTGTCATGCTTCTTGGTAAGGATTACTTCAACCTTCCTCGGTATAATTTTACTCTTCAAAGTTGAAATAATTAACGAATGTGGTTAATTTCTAGTTAAGAAACAATATCATAGATGGTTTGCAACAAAGCACTAAGTGGGAGTAAAACTAAGCTTGTTTAGATGAAACTTACATCTTTTATTTGACTTGAGTAATTTATGTGATAGTATAGTCTCCTCATCTTGCTTTGAATATTCCAAAATATCTGAAAAATGGTGATTTGTAGACCTCCTCCTGCTATGTATGACAACTATATGCTCTCCTGATCATTTTTGTTGAAAGTCAGGAAATTGATGAGATTTCCAAAATATTAACAATATATATTAAGAGTATGTACCTAACTAGTATCTTGTTCTACTGAATGTTCAAGTTTACAACATGACTTCTTTCATTTACTTTTCATTATCTATTTTGATCTACCCGCTTTCCGAGGTAGCGAACTACAAACATTCACAATACAAAATTTTCCTTTACAAGAAACTCAAACATAATCATCTATGAAGATACCAATCTGATCTTTACTCTTGATAATGCTCAAAATAATCAATCATCAATATATATTACAAAATTAATATCACCTCGTAATATCATGCATCTCCATAGTCAACAAGAAATATATTTTATTGGCATATCTTCAGTATTTTTTTTTCAATTTTGGCATGAATTTTCTTTACTTGAAACCTATAAACATTGTAACTTCATTTTTCAATCATCTAAAAAATGATATTTTCATCTTCAAATGTAACTAGAATGTAACTAAATATACACCGAAGAAAATTTATTTCCAAACATATTATTCAATCTTTTTGGTCAAATCAAACATCACATCTAGTTCTCCATCATAAGCTTATTGAATAAGTAACAAATCTTCTAGTTTTTTGATACATCTAACGTAGTCTAAAAGTCACATATGTAGGCTGATCAAACCATTTGTCACTTTTAAGCTAAATTGTAGACTATTAGAATCAAAACAGTAGTATTAGGATTTAAGAGCTTGCATCTTCTCTACTCTTGCTCAAGCAATAATTAAAAATGTAGAGAAGTATGAAGATGAAACTATGTATGTATGAAACTATGAAACTATGTATGAAGTATGTTTGATGAAACTATAAATTCTTCAAGTTCGAGGTTACAGAGCTTGCAATAATTCAGACGAGTTCTGGTAATAGATGTAATGACCGATACATTAACAGAGAATACAGAGTTTGGAGAAAACTCTAAATCATCTCGAGGTAGAGGTAGATCTCCAGTCCAACAGAGGCACACGGAATTCAATTACGTTGGGTAAGGGTACGTTCTAAATGTGGACACAAAGCATATCCTCAACAATACGTGTAGAGGAAATGAGCCAAAATTGTCCCTCTCTGCACTCTGCACGTAACTTTAAGATTCCACCATTGAGAATGCCATGTGTGTAATTTTCGTTGCAAACCCAAGTTTTGCACACCCTTTACGAAATATTGGAATGATGGCTAGCTCCATCATTATTAAGATGAAAAGCCTTGAGGTAGGGGACTATCCGGGTAATTGTCAACGACAACTGCTACGATACTATTGCTTTAGAAAAGAATAACAACAAATTTGAACTTGTAGATTCTGAATCTCCCCTATTAGAACCAGAACTGTACACACCGTCGCAAGTGATAAATGTGTTCAAATACTTGGGAGAAGAGAATATCAATCAGATCGTAATTTCGTATGCACTCGCTGATGTATTGATGAGTCAGGTATACGGAACTTCGGGTAATTCCATGATTACTTTCCGGTGAAAGTCGGACTGTGCACTTTCACCTTTGCCTACCTACTCAACGGACCGTATTTGAGGGGCAGGATACCACCAACGAGCCGTATGGTCTGCACAACGCACTAACGGATTAATGTGTCAGGCACTGGTCTCCGAGGTGGATGTCAGAGGGCCTTCGGATCACATCTCCAACGGTGCAGATATCGGGGCGAGGTCGCATCTGCCAGGACTAGCCCTGTATTGTCGGCCTCCTTCTAGATACAGTGAGGCTCCTTTGGCCTTATTCCCGCCGTCGCTAACTTGGCCCCGACATGCGTCATGATAGAGCCTCCGCCTACGGAGCCAATCCGCATGATCAATCCAAATGACGTGGAATGCTCTCTGGAAAAGTGGCTCCAGCCATTACGTCGGTTTTGAGGCACCGGCAGCAGCGTCGCAGAGCATCATTGCGACGACATGGTGATTCGACACCTCGCGACTCTCGAATAATCGTTTGCGCTTTACCGTACGATTCTATGAGTTGACTGTGGTGCGTCCGATGGAGACGTCGATGGGTCCACCATCGCGACGGGAGAGGTTCAGTCTCGATGCGGCGTCGGGACGCACGTGGTGACAGCGCCGGAGACGGGAGGGAAGAGGGCTCACTGATGCGCAGCCAATCGGCACATCCGGCTGGTGGGGCCCCGAATTTTCGGGCTCCGGGAACCGATGAAATGCGGCTCGAAGGAGCATGTTCTCTCTCGTCCTGTCGTGAGTCCGACAGCGCGATCTCCGAGCATTCTAATAAAGATAGAGATGGTGGAGGGCAAGACGGATCACGGGACAGAAGTGGACGATCAACCAGCAGCAGCAGCAGCAGAAGAAGAAGAAGGAGAAGAAGCAGAAGCTGGGAAATCAGATGGATGGCACGAAATGAAGAGAGTCACCAAGTAATCAGGTGGATCAGCTGCCGTGGTCTCCAGGTTGGAGGCGACGCAGGGCTGGATGGCTCTCAACTGGATGAGGAAGAAGAAGAGGAAGATGGAGTTCTAGCAGTCGTTCTAGCAGTAGGAGGAGGCGGCAGCAGCAGCAGCAGCGGCCCGGAGCAATCTAAATCTGCGCACTGGCTCTGCGCATTCTGTCCAGTTTCATGGAGATAAACGCCGGGGACTGAGGCAGCGGCTGCAGGCAGCTCCAATTTGACGAGTTGACAAGGTGTCAGCTGAGCTTCGCCTCTTCCGACCGTCAATTCTGTGCACGCTGGCTTGGAAGGGGAGGGAGGAGGGGAATCAGTGGGGCTGCCATTTCCCGCCTTTGCTGGAGGTGGAGGTGGAGGTGGAGGGGAGGGAAGAGAAGCAGGGCATTTTCGATCGGCTGTCGTCGAGAGAGGAGCGAGGCTGCCTGCCTGCATTGCGTCTAGTGTAGCGGACTACGAGGCGGCGCGTAATAATGGAGGCGCGAGCACAGTGATGACCATGTGACAGGTCACTGGAGGAGTATCGTAACCGCGAAAGCCCGAGCTGCTCTGAGCGGACATTCATGGACTGCCATTGACAATGCGTTACGCTTTCCTGACACCGCCCTCTGAACATTCGCCATCGCCCCTCTGAACTCCGAAATCTGAACGTGATTATATCCGCACGAGGTTTACGGCCAGCGAAAGAGGAAGATAACTCGAAGCCTCGCGCGTTCCAGGGACCCCGTTCAAAAGTGTCTCGTTAAATTGATCACGTACCACTCCGCGCTCCTCCCCAGCGAGTCCGACGCCGTGGTCTCTGATCCATCGTCACTAGAGTAAAACTCGTGTGAGAGCATGTCCCCATCTTGACGATGATCTTAATGGCGAATCAGCCACCTTCTCATCGTTAAGCAAATCCTCGGATACGACAGTCGGGGGGGGCAGTGTTTGGTTCTCGGACATCCGCCGCTCTCGAATGTGGGAGCTCTGATTCTCGTCTTGGACAGAGTGTCATTCGATACAGTGACTGCGGAGGAGGTGCGTTGAAGTGAGGTCCCATAGCGCCGATGGAGGCGGGCACTTTTTGAGGAATGATGGTCTGTGATAGAATTGGACAGGAGTATTATTACTAACGAACGATCCAGCGCCACCCTTTCGGCTGCGCTGACGAATTTTGCGAAAGCACGAAGACCAGAATGCGCAATGTTTGCCGCCCGCTGGCTGGGCTCTGAAGGCCTGTGCGTTTGAGCACAGGGCTGGGTGGCTGGGTGGCTGGCTACGTACATGAGTGCGTGATCTGATGATGAATGGCAACTACATGCGGCATGGTTTGAAGAGAAGCGCTCGAGCGGACGTCATGAACTGAATCCCTCCCTCCCTCCCTCTCGTGGGGGCACAGGCGAATGAAATTTCAAATGCCATCCATGCCTGCCCGCCCGTGATCGGTGACGGCCTCGAGCTCTCTGCGAGCCTCGGCGCAGTGACAGGTTGAGTTTTCACTACGATGGATGATCGTACGACGACGGTCGTGTTGGGAGTCGGAATCGGTATTACAGTATGCGCTATAGCTCTGCTGCTGGTCCTCCTGTTTCTCATTCAGAGGAAGAGGAAGGAGCTGCTCATGCCCAACAGCGCCGATGCACTTCCGCAGTGGAGCAAAGGACCCCAGAACTTGCACTCGTCTAATCAAATTCGTGTGTGGAGAACAGGTACTCCTCCGTCTCAATCCTTGATGATCTGCTTCCTGTACTTGATTGAGTTTGAGTGCAATGAGTGCGTGTCATCTCTCCATGGCTGCTTTGCGGGACTCCGTTGTACTCGCATTCTATTCCGACCTTTGTTTAGTGGGTCCAAGTCTTAGACACCTCCCGCCATCATTATTGGAATGGCCTGGGTACGAGATTCTTCCGGAACGATGTAGCAATGTCAACCATTCTGTAATCATTGCAATTCCTCGTGTCCCTCGACGGAGAAGTCCGCGAGAGAGCTAGCGAGCGAGCGCAGTCTGGAGCTCCTACGTCGTCGCCTGCCGATAGAGAGTGGCGCTGATTCGAGCCCCCGCTGCTGCCTGGTCGCTGTCGCAGATTCATCGCCTCTGTTCAGGCGATTCAAGCTGCGCGAGGTGAAGAAGGCGACGAACGACTTCAGCACCATCATCGGGAGGGGCGGATTCGGCACTGTCTACAAGGCCCGATTCAAAGACGGCCTGGTGGCGGCGGTGAAGCGCATGAACAAAGGCTCGCACCAAGCGGAGAACGACTTCGCGCGCGAGATGGAGCTGCTCGGGCGGCTCCACCACAGGCACCTCGTCTCTCTCAGGGGATTCTGCGCCGAGAATCGCGAAAGGTGCCCGCCTCTCTCTCCCCATCCATGCCCTCCCTCCCGACTTCTGGCTCGTCGTGATCGCTGCGTTCGCGCCTCGGCGCAATCGAATGCGCCCGCTGCCAAACCTCTCCTCTCCGGCGCTAACGGCTCTTTTTTCATGCTCTGGCTCGCAGAGTCCTCGTGTACGACTACATGGAGAACGGGAGCTTGAAGGAGCATCTTCACGGTACGTACGAACGATCGGATGTCATTGCTGTTGCCACCTTCTTCCATTTACACCTTGCTGTTGCCATTCGACTGAAGTTAGAGAATGACATCTTGTGTGGAGAATCGCGAGCTGTGTGCTGCTGGTCGAGATCCATGTGTGTGTGTAGCTGGTTTTGAACGATGATTGGAATGCCAAAATGAGTCCTGCCATGGTTCACTGGCCAGGTATAGGGTCTTACGAAGTGTACACAAGCATCAGCTTCAGGTGTGATGAAATGGATAGTGTATCTACTATGTCGGGTAATCTCACTCAAAGTAAGTACGAACCTTGTAGACGGCCTTAACGAGTTGATGATGATCCAGACCATGAACATTGCATTACTCCTGCACGCCTTAGCCAGCTGATGCTTGTGTACACTTTCTTATAGACGAGTTGAAGTTCGCTTCATGGAATGCATGCCTACAACGTCGTCTTCCACTTTGGACTGACATTCGCTCGTGGCATCACAGTCAAGACCAAATCTTCTTTGAACTGGCAAACGAGGATGCGAATAGCCACAGGGGTTGCAGCTGCCCTGGTAAGTATCCCCTTTCCTCTTCAGTTTCATTTTTTAATTCTCCACGACAGCTGTATATGGATCTCACGGGACGATCGAGTCGTTGCCTGCAATTTACTCGGCGCGAGTACTCCACTTGGAATCGGCTCTTCTGATACTACGTTGTGATAAATCTGTGGTTTCAAACGTCGAGGAAGACGGTGCCGAAGAGCGAATCGGTGGCTGCATTCAGTATTGGGATTCTGAAATGGGCCGCTGGTTTTGCAGGAATACCTCCACATGTATTGCGAGCCTCCACTCTGCCACAGAGATATAAAATCCAGCAATATCTTGTTGGATGAAAATTTCGTCGCAAAGGTATTTCGCAACAGCGTCGTTGCTGTAATCTCCCTCTCCTCGTAAATTCTGCGAGGAGCTGAACTGTTTCGATTTTTGGCTGTGATGACTTCTGCATTGATGACTAGTTGTTGGCTCTTATTACAAATTTCATGGCAATGTCTGCGAACCAGGTCGCGGACTTCGGTCTGGCTCACGCCGCTCCCAGTGGAAATTCTCAAGCCGAAACCATGAGCACGGATGTCCGAGGCACACCTGGTAGGACATCTATGCGGATAATCCAGCCCTAGACGAGTATAGCAGTGACTGCCACAATACCTCTACTTTCTCTAATTTTTTTGGTAGAGGTACTATCATCTGCAGAAACTAGCTCATTTATTACGAAATTCTTTCGCTCTCAGACTACATTAACTCGCCAATCCTGGTCCAGATTATTGACTTTCGTACTGGCGTCTCTTGGGCAGGTTACATGGACCCTGAATATCTTGTCACCCATGAATTAACGGAGAAGAGTGATGTTTACAGCTTCGGAGTGTTACTACTGGAGCTGATCACAGCTCGTCGTGCCGTCCATGAGAAGAAAAATCTGGTGGAATGGGCACAATACTACATGAATAACGAGTCCAGATTCTCCCAGCTGGTGGACCCGTTTTTAGAGAGCAACTACGATGCGGAGGAGCTTCGCCATCTGATCTCCCTCATAAAAGTATGCACTCTTACCGATGGAAAATCCAGGCCGAGCATGAAGCATGTGGTGAGCGTTTTATACGACAAGCTTGACCTGGAAAGAACACCCAGTGAAATTTGCATCACCAACTCCAACGTCCAATCGAACGTCCAATCGAACGTCAACACAGACATGGGGTCACAGAGATCCATACGTTCTAGTCCACCCACATCGCAAGGCGGGACCACCAACCGAAGCTATCGGTATAACGATTCGGCGAGCAGTCCTATTTCTCCTTCCATTTCAGACAGAAGCTAGTAAGTAGATCACTCATCACACTCAGAAACCATCTTCTCTGGTCCATCTTTGTTCCCTTTTTTGCACCCGTGACGTTACTGGAGAAGATGGAAGAACTCGACAGTTGACCACCTCGAGCAAGGCTGCCTGTCGTCTCTCGAATGGAGAGGATGGATATTCGTCAGCTCGTATTAGTTTCCTTAATATCTTTCGTAATGTGAAATCCTAGTATGGGAACCACAATTTGACGGGTGATTGATGGTCAACTCGAGGCTTGTAGTTTTCACATGCTCGATATGTGGCGAAACACCACATAGTGAGTCTGAAGTTCGACTCTCAGACCTCTTGAGAGAATTGGCAGAAATCTTGTAGTAAGATGGTGGTGATCCACTCATCTTTACAAATTTTAATACTCGATTGTGATCAAGGTTTTACAGTCGATGTTAACTTGAGATTAGATTAGACTTGACTCCAGTCATCATTTGTAGCAAAGATCATGGATGGAGACTTGAGGTCTGTATATATAGGCGGCGCCAATTTTTTGGTTTTGCTTGAGCTGTCAAGGAGAAACTTCGATCCGGCTTCCCAAGTCGCTCGAGGCCTGGACTTTTTGTCAACTCGATGAGCCCAGCAGCAAAAGATGATCTCGCCGCTGGGAATGTATGTATGGTCATCGTCTATGAACGCCTAGCTACAAGAAATGTAGTTTGTGTTGTACACCTCTTTGAAATGTATTCAAACCTGTGTGCTTCTTTATTTGCATCGGTGGGAATATGTTCGAAAACATTTGCAATTCAATCAGTGACATATTGAGTGAGGTCTGTGAAAATTCCGAAAACATTTCTTTGCGCTTGGACGATCGTACAATTAAGTTTGCAATACGAACGTCTCAAGGTCAAATATTTTGCCGGCACAAACCCCAGAATAAATTGGTCAGTGATGCTCCAAAGGTACTCCGACCTGAAAAACGTTGGATTGAAGAAACTGTCAGTGTCCTCAGCGAGGGCTATCTTGTCGTGGTGATGTTCTCTAGCGTACCATCTTGATGATTCCGTCGAGCATTTGTATGAATGTGAACTACGTAAAAGTTGAGAAAGATCGAAGGATCCCACGAACAAGGAGGAAAGTGGGGTTTGAGTGGCAGAAGAGAACCATGGAACGGTAATACCCCTATATCCGGAATAATTCCCCTGTTTGAATCTACATATTCCGACGACTGAACTAGAGATGTTAATAGCGAGACACTTCATAGTCTTGCAGTTGAAACACGTAATCTGTGTGCGAGATCGTCTGGAATAAAACCATCCGAAGTAAATCACCTTGCAAAGTTGAGTTCTCCACATAGCACCAGCTGGTGCTGGTTATCTATGTAGATGAGAATCACTAAGAATACTGACTGCACGATAGATTAACTTAGAAACAATCAACATTGAAGATTGTTCCACACCATGTAACACAAGCTATGTAGTTCTCTGCTTATACGACTCAAGTGGCAAATACGTCTGCTCGAGATTTTCAGCAGGTGATACACAAGGTAACAATTATACCATGTGAAGTAAATGAAAGTTGTATCTCAGTATTCCAGTCAAAAAGGGACTTGTCGCCTCTACCACCTTGCGGCTGCTACGACTTAAATCTCTGAACTGCTCCTGTTCGTCTCATGTAGGTGTGCGCTACGTTCAACCCGGTACAAAGTTCCTGGTAGAGTAAATAAATGCCGACGTCATTGGCCAAGAGCATCCATTACTAATTAGCACAATGCTGGTTTGGCAACTAATACACGCTGTCATCGATCGATGCTCCAGAAAGAAAATGCACACAGAGCGATGCTGGATGCTCAGAGATGCGACGGGGACGTTAGAAGGCAAAATAATGATAGAATGATAAAAAAAATTAGAGCTCATGAGGCAAATTGAGTTGTCGTTCACTGGTCAAAGGCAGGGACTTTGTTCTCAGTTCTGCAAGACTAGAACGCAGTCATGCCTTCTGCCCGCATATGATCCAAATTCGGCCAGGCCACACAGGTCGGAGTGAAAATAGGCCGTTTGTTTTTTAGAGCGGAAAGGTATACAGTACTCTCATAATAATCTGCAGCTTCGAGACTTCACAGTGCAAAGTCAGTAGACAACAGCTTGAGTCAGTGATCAGCTTAGCGAAGGTTTTTGCTTGTGTTGTATCAACACCAAGTATTTTTGAATAAACTACCAATGTATTTTCAAACTGCTAATAAGAAGATTGGTTATCATATTTTTTTCAAGGAGAAGAGATTAAATTTATGATTATTCATTTATTATTTAGAGATTATTATGATTTTCGTATATCTTGGTTAAAATTTTCTTTGTACAAGACATCATACAAGTTTCAATTGAACGATTCCTGATTGGTCTAAATTATTCCATGGATGTATTAAATTTATAAATATTTTATGTTTTTTATGATAGATTGCATCGTATATCAAACGTTAGTCAGTAAGAAGAATTTCCACAATTTTTATCAATAAAAAAAATCATAGTAAATTTTAAAAGAAAAATTAGCTTATATGCATAAAAACATAGTAAAAATCTCCGAATAAGTTACATTTTTTCTAAAAATATCTAAGAAAATGATAGAATAATATTTAGAATAAATAAAAATAAATATTATCTAAAATAATATATAATATATACTATAAAGTAAAAATAAAATATTAAAAAATTAAAATAATTAAAATTGATAATAAATATAAAGGTCCAATGGAAATTGAATGCTGAATTTCTATTGGATAAATACTATTCAATTTTAAGATCATATAATCTAAACTCCAAAATACACTTAATTGTCTCAAGGGTCTAACATCTACTACTAGCACTTCAGATTTATGTTATAGATTAAAGATGTAAAGGCAATGACCTCTTGTTGAATCTACGAGTGAGCATTCTCTCAACATAATTATAAACCTCAATACACATAGCAATAAATATATATAACAGCCAAAGTATATGTCTCATGTGGTAAATTGACATGTTTCGTTTACATCTCAACCTTGTCTTAGATATTCCTTAAAAATTATGTCTAGAAAAGTATTTAGTCTTTGATAGACAACACTAATCAACCTACAAATTTGGTCACTAACCTCTCAAAATATCCAGTCAAGCTTCAAATGAAGTTTTTACAAGACTCTTCCCCAATTAATGATCCTTCATGAATACGTGAATATACTTATAAGCTTCAAATGAGATTACAAGTGCGAATTTCTTTGGCGAATTGATTTTTTTTTTGATTTTTTCATAAATTTATCTTCTTCTCGTCTACTTATCTTTCGGCCAAAATATTAATTTCATTGGATCTTGCTCCTGCATCTGAGAGCTATCTTAAAACTTATGTTCAATATAATCGGTGGGGATGTTCACAAGCATATGAATATGTTTCAGTATGTAAATATATATGTAAGTGTGTTTCAATGATAACAATACAGCATTCAAATGTACTACAAATATTGTTCTTTTCATCATACTTCTACTGAATGTCATTACATCAATCAAGAAAAATCATGTTATATATATTTTGGAGCAAAGAGTTCTATAAAAATAAAAATAAAAATGATTTAATCGGATATAAAAAAGTAATTTCTATTTGATACAACTGTAAAAGCTATTTTGGTAATAAAATTGTGTTTAGGTAAAATATGGGTGAGGTGATATGTTTCTAGGGTTACTTTGTTAAGATTTCCCCCAGCAAACTAACCTCTACCAATCGGACAGAAGTCCATGAAAATGATCGAGAAGTTGAAGAGCAGATATCGGGAAGTTATACTTTATACTGAATGGCGAAAACGAAGCCCAAGCACCTTTTTACACGGTACAGGCTTAAGACCATGGACTCCCGTCGCCAGTCCCGCGTGGCGGCTGACGCGATAGTGCTGACTGTGGGCCGGGGCTCCTTTGACAAGTCTCAAAACTGCTCGAGACTGAGGCTTCTTTTGACAGTCTCAGGATTCCATCCAGCAACAAACGAAATTTCATCAGGAACAGCGAAGTAGCATTTGTGCGAGGATCGGAACGGGAACTTTGAATTAGTGATCGTGCAACCATGAGTGAAAGTGATTTGGACCTTTCGGACGCGGAGGAGGAAACTCCTCATGCCGAAATGAAGAAGCTGGACATTCAGGGGAAGGCAGCTGAGGCGTCAAGCTCGTCGAAGAAACCTATCATCATCATTGTGATCGGCATGGCAGGTGAGTTCTTTCCTTCCTTCTGTGTCTCGAAACTGGGTTCTTAGAACAGTGGACGCGTCATGGAAGGATTCGTGGATTTTGGTTTGAATTTGTCCGTTCTCTTTGCTGTTCAGGGAGCGGGAAGACCACTTTGATGCACAGGCTTGTGGCTCACGTGCAGGAGTCCGGGAAGCGGGGGTATGTGTTGAATCTGGACCCTGCGGTTACGAATTTGCCCTATGGGGCGAATATCGATATCCGAGATACTGTGAAGTATAAAAATGTGATGAAGGAATATGGCCTTGGACCTAATGGAGGCATTCTCACTTCTTTGAATCTGTTCGCCACCAAGTTTGATGAGGTTTTCATTTCCATTGCTTCCCTACTCTTGAACCTTCCCTTGCAACTATAAATTCCACTCTTACACCCGTCTGTTATAGTTGCTGTGTAGCGGGTCTTCCATTCATTATCCTCAGGTTCATGTGCTGGCCACTGGAAGTCACCTGGAATGTAAACTGTCGTCAACTCTCTGTCATCTTATGGTGGTCTTGGAACGATTACCTGACAGGTGGTGGGTCTCGTGGAGAAGAGAGCTCCTGAGCTAGATTATGTCCTTGTAGACACTCCAGGACAAATTGAAATATTCACTTGGTCTGCATCTGGTGCCATCATCACTGAAGCTTTCGCTTCAACCTTTCCTACCGTGGTGACATATGTGGTGGACACACCTCGTTCAACAAGTCCGGTCACATTTATGAGTAATATGTTGTATGCGTGCGGAATTTTATACAAGACTCGCCTTCCTCTAATGCTCGCGTTCAACAAGACGGACATAACTCAGCACCAATTTGCTGTGGAGGTATTATTCTCTGTGATTGAGCATATGACTTTCTAGAAGTTGGGAAAGCTGCGGTTGTCAAATGAATGATGGGAGTGCATTGCATGTCTGTAAACTTATTTCTCTTATTTCATTTCCTTGATCTGTATGCCTATTTGAGTCTGAAGCTGTCAACCAAAGTCCTGTCCTCGGTTGTTTGGATAACCAGTATGTAGATTCTCTCACCTGTACACTCAGTCCCTTTTATGTAAGGCATTCTAATCCTAACTTACACGAGCATTTGTGTTCCATAATAACAGACAAAAAGGAAAGTTCATAAGCTAGAAATTTCAATTTGATGTGCCTTCCACTTATGTCATTCTGAATGTAGTTAAATAAGGAATACTTGAACAATATGAAGAGAATACTCGTTGTAAGTTTCAGGTTTAGCTGGTTCTGACCTTGTACGAATAAATTAGCTTCAAGGATTGTTGTAAAATGTATCAATGCTTACTCTTGTTTAACCTCGTTTTAGGTCTTGTGGATGATAAAGTGGAGAGATACTTTTGGGATAATTAGTACACATACTTTGGCTTTCCAAACCTGTTATTTCGGTTCCTTCGCTTACCCCCTTGTCTCACACGTACGTAGTCTCTATCACATACATGCATTGAGGTTCCTGATTTACTTTTCTCCTTTCATATTGTTTTGTCCCGTACGCAGTGGATGGAAGATTTCGAAAAGTTTCAAGATGCGGTGGAGAGCGACAAGTCTTACAATGCAAACTTAAGTAGAAGTCTTTGCCTTGTGCTTGATGAGTTCTATCAGAACTTGCACAAGGTTGGGGTGTCAGCAATAAGTGGAGCAGGCATGAAAGAGTTTTTCGAGACGGTTGATGCCTGTGGGCAGGATTACATGCAGAACTACAGGTAACTCATCAGTTTTACCTTTTGAGAATGCTAAGGGGACTGAGATTTGAATGTATGACTCAACCTTTGTGCATGGTCCAGACCTGATGTAAGGAGACACAGAGGCAAACATGAAATTTTACTAACCATGTCTACCCTTGTTAGGCTCACTAGCCATTTCTTGTGAGCTGTCATCTATGATGCTTGGTCACAGATGTTGATCAATGTAGGGCGTTGTCATTTACTTCATAGATCTTGGCCACAAAGTAGATCTTTTTTTCTTTTTATGGACGTATTCTATGCTTGGGAAATGCAGAGTAGAACTGGAGCAACGACGTAAGGATAAGGAACAAAGAGAGGAGGAAAGAAAACGAGTCAATCTGGAGAAGCTGGAGAGAGACATTGCAGAGTCGAAGGGGGAACCTGTTGTTCTTGCTTCAGCTTCAAAGAAGGATGTGCTAGGAGAAGACGCAGATGCGGCCGACGTTGCCGAGGAGGAGGAAATATACGATTCTGATGTCAGTGGCGAAGTGGATGATGACGATGATAACGAGGACGAGAAGCATTACAGATATTAGTTCAACAAAGCTTTCAAGCTATTACGCGCTTACGCAACAACGGGAAATTATATAAAATATTTGAGACACTTGCACAAAGTTTTCAATAGGTAGGTAGTACAGACACATTTCAAAAATTATTACAGTTATGTTGGTAGGTCGTGTGGGACGGGTACTGTGTGAACCGCAACAATGGTGCTGATTGTGGTATAGGCTGAGTAAGCAACTATGTTCAGCTCCAACTGAGGTACCTAAACCCCAATTATTTTGTGGACGGGGTGCAAAATTTTCAATCAGCGGAGTAAAAAGTCTTATAAGTTGCAAAAGTGGTTATTTAGTAATATAGCCACCTAAACCCTAAGACTCTACACTGTCAATTATGCCCCATCCACCATGCTTCAATGGTAATTTACAGTTGTGTTTACTATCTATCTCACAAGAGAAGGTTGACCACAAGTTATAAGAATTTCTAGCGAAATCATCTAGTTGCCAAACAATAGAAGCAGAACTGGATATGAACTGGTGAGAATTGGAGAGTATGTAGATAAATTGCAAATCCCAATGTGGTGGATATGTATCAAAAGCTTCGTCGTGCCAGTGGACATGAAATTTCTTAACTCAAGTAAAAGCTTTAGCTCCAAATACCATCTATGGTTACGAATCACCTCTATAAGAACTAAGGTCGTGACTAATATATATGGAGATTGAATTTTGCTATTTGATGTCGTGAGCCTGAACTCCTTAACACAAAAGAGGTCAATGCAAATAGTAATTTCACTCATAGTTCATATAATATGTGTTACTTGTCAAGGATGTAATTTCAATTGGGTGTTCAGTTGATGGTACGTACAAGATTTTGAATGTGTGACATAACAAGTACCTACTCGTCTGATGTATCTCCTTAATCTAGACTAAAGTTTCTTTTAGCGAGATGTTTGAGCTAGTTATTGGTAATTCTTTTCACAGAACAGATTTGCTCACAACAACAACTTCCATTCTGCTCCTCGATATATACTAGTTTAGTGTTTCACTAGATTCCAGTAACAAAATGCAGCATGTCTTTGGGCGTTGGAAACATAGTACTCGAAGTGTTGTAAGTGTTTTGTCATAAGAATTTCAACAAATATATTGAGATGTATTGAGTCGAAGAAATACAGAGGCGTAATCAGGGCAAGCATAAATTTAAACTCTCATCACAGCATTAAGAAAGCACTCGCAATCAATCGTTCCAGAAGCGGTGTATTCAAAGCACAAATACAAGATTGGATATCAGTCCTGTGCCTCCCAACATCAAGTTATATATCTACCGCGTAACAATTTAAGATTTTCCTTATAGAAATAGGTCGTAATTTTCTATTGTACTTCTTTGGGGAGGTAATAAGAGTAACTCGGTTGTGACTTGAGTCCATGCAAGGGTTGTCCAAGAATATCTTGGAGACATCTTTCCATCTCCGTCACCTCAAGGCTCTAGGCGATCTGTAGTCGCTCGGTCATGCTGCCTACAGATCCCAATTGGCACCATCATTCGATCCTCCTCAAAACGCGCCAACAAATCACTGCATCATGTCTCTAACCACCAAACAAACTAGAGAATGATGGAACTTGATGGTGATCTTCTGATAAATTAGGGTTATAGAGCATGGTTAATATCAAACTCAAGTGTTTTTCAATAAATTCCGTACATCATTGTGATTCTTGACGGACAGCTGATGTGTGTCTGGTTTGTACTTGTGCTGTTCACTACAGACTGCAGACTTCTCTCTTTTCTTCGCTTTGCTCGACGGAACTAAATCGGAAGGTGCATCTAAACACTTCTTGGATATTCAAACGAATCCACCGAGCTACACTTGTCCATCCATCTACATATTATCTTAGAATTCGAGACCTGTAGGCAAAATCCGCGAAATCTCCGAATGAAGAAACGTACGACTTCTCCTCTTCCACTCAATGCGAGTTATACGAGTGAAGCTTGGCCGGCACACTTCCGTGAAAATATTGAACAAAGTCACGTTCGGTGAGAATTCTCGTCCTTCCTAGCCTTCCTAGCAGTAGAAACTGCTGAGATGCCCTCATATCTGGGTTACTCCCACTCTCAAGACAGTACTCCTCAGCATCATTTCGGTCACATACGGTAGCTTCTGTTTTACACAGGTAGTCAATGCTTTGATGGTCGACTCAACATCCCGACCTTGACATCAACATGGCCACCTTCCGATCAATCAGTGGTTTCACTCAGCATCCGTCGAATTTCTGAGTGGCGTAGACGTATACCACACGAAGAGTATTTCCAACAATCTTGATAAGGCTTACAGCTCACATCTTTAGCATCCAAATGTCGATGGGTTGTCCACATTCAAGGATTGACCGTAATCTGAAGACACTCAAACAAGAACAACAAGAAAATCAGATTGATGAAAAGTCCCCCAAACTATGAGAATCGATCATGTTGTGGCTAGACACATCATACCACTTCTTCTTACAAAATTCCCAAAAGCCGATTGACTGTAAGACCAGATGAAATAAATGCCGTAAATGACCACTGACAATATTGACCTAGCAATAGAACCTTCGTAAAATCAAAATAACAGAGAATTTCCTCATCCCCTTGAAAATTCAATAACGGCTCTACGAAAGCATTAGTCTTCTGATCGGGTCTGCTAACTCCTAAGGTAGCGTGTGGCTAATACCCAATATCATCACACTGAGAAAAATGTGATATTCCAACAAATATATCCCAACTTTACTGAAATAAAATAAAAAGAAGAAGAAAAAAGATTGTGATCGCTGAAATCTTGCAGTGTTGTTAAGTCATCTTGTAACATAAGCATTCTATTTGTAGCAAGACATGACCGTAAGAAATGAATCCACGCCAACACTTCTCCACAAAACACGATTGTATAGAATATGGGGTCCGTATGGAGTACATTATTAGAGCGTCGGAGAAGAGGAATATATCATCGTATAATTGGCCTGTGCATTCAAAATGGTTATGGAAATTTGGCGCCATGAGTTGGCAGTCTTGTCAGAAGGCAGAACTTGATGTCATCACACAACAATGACTTTAAAATAAAAAGTGATATTTCCAGCATGTGATCCCGATCTGCAGTAAGTGATCTGTTAACCTGTTAGACTGGCGTTGGAAGATATGTAGAAGATATGTCGGAGATCCTTAGCCTGGAATTACAGACAGAACCTGCACAAGACAAGCAAGCAAGCTCGTTTCAGGGATGGTATACAAGATGGCAGTCTTTTCAACTCGAAACTCGAAAGCTGTTTCATGTGATTGTACCCGTTAATCTGGGCATAGGCTTTACATAAAGACCTGTGAGCTGTGTACAGGAAAGTGGTTTAAGAACTCATCTCTTGATTTGTAAGTCAATGTTTCAAGATTGGGTTAGTCCTAAGTGTGATGAATAGCGGTTTAGATATAATATGCGAGGTGTACTCGGATACCTTATGGTACACAAGATAGTGGTTTCACATATAGCATCGTGGATGTGCATTGTGACAATAAGAAGCGTTTGATCTTTGCTGCGTGGATTAGTGATTCCCTCCAGACATGGGTATCGATATGCACTCGGCAAGAGGTACAAGAAGAGATCTTTCACTATGCACTGAAAAGTGGTTTTCGACATCAAGTCGGAAACCACTTTTCAGTACACATCTGGACTTGATGTCTGGATGTACAAAGCAAATGGTTTAAGAGTGGGTCTATCCTTGGAGTGGGACAAAGTTGTTTCAGACAGGGTACTCGCACGGTATTATAATATTGGTTTGCTGTTGGATATCTCGATTGTGCACTGAAAAGTGGTTTTGGAGGTGATATGAGGAAATGTAAAAACCCGGATTCTGAAGACATTCATCTTTTGTTTGATGACTGGAAAGCGGTTTTACGACAAGGAGTCATCGAAGATATGATCTTCAGATTCTCTGAAAGCGGATTCGAATAGTTAGATATCTTTGTCCTAGCCTCCGCATGAAGACCTTGTAGTATACTACTTGGGCCTACTTTTACGAGGCATGAGATGAAATGAAGATAATTACAATATTGTGCTCTAGCCTTTTTGTATTGTGTGCCAAAGATATTTCATACATTTTTCAAACCAATTACAATTCTACTGCATACATACCATCGGGCAATATCTTATGAACAAAGCAATCCTCTTATGATACTCTTAGAGTGTGCACACTAGGATACAAAATAATGGGGGATATATATCTTAAATATATTAGTAGAAAATGTGTTTAAATTCATGCACATACTTTATTATAGCTTTCCATATCTCATACCACAACACTACACATTTCCATAAAGACAATTAATTTTTGCTATTTTAGGTTTGAACAACTTCCAACTTTGGAATTTTCCACATGCTATATACAAACAAAATAAATCTATGGGAAAAAATTCTATTATTTTAGAAGATATATATTTTTTGCTAAGATCATGCCACATCCAAGCAAAAAATTTTGAAAGGTGAATTTTTTTTTGCATTTCATCTTCTTTCATTCTTAAAAAAGTTGTTAAAACATTACGTATTAACAATTTGAGCATTTTTTAGGGATTCTTATAATAACATGTTTTGAATAATGATGATCATTGATGGTGATTTTGCATCAAATTTGAAATTTGAAAGAATGTTATGTAATGTACATATATCATTTGCTTTATGTTTGCTGTATGTTCACATCAACATATGAAAACTTCACATGGAGATGTCAAGGAGAATGTGCTGTACAAAATGTTTTCTTGCAAGAACAAAAATCCGTATGACGAAATGCATTATGAATACTACTCAAATATTTGAGATGTGAATGAACACGTCAATATTTAAAATTTACACATATGACATAAAAACCTTTATTGACTTGTCCAAATATATCAACAATTGTGATTGTGCTATATTATAAAATATATATCTTACGGTATATATTTATATTTATTTGGTTAGTTTGATTGTCAATCGATTTGTTGGCATATGCATGAGTTAGTATAATTTTTACTTTGACAACTATTAGTCTAATAATATGAGAGTAACATGTTTGACATCTACTTATATTTGATATCTACTTATATCATAGGAAGATGACATTTGAATTGTAGAAAATAAGAAGCATGAGATTGGACAAAAAGATACTTGATAGCACACAAAAGTTGGATACAACTATTTTGATATTTTGATACTCAAGATGAGTAAAAAAAAAGATTAGAAAATATAAAATATATCCATATATGTATATTATAATCTATTATCGACAAGATTTTTATTTTTTTTAAGTGAAATGTCTTTTTTTGTCATTTCAGAAGATGATAAGTAAGTATCAATTTATCATTTGAACAACATTTTATAGAAAAAATAAGTCTCAATTCTCCAAAATCAAGATAAAATAGCATGAGCATCTTAAAGATTGTTGTGAAATATGAGAAGTAATTTCATAATATCAACCTAGGGGACTTCGTCATATGAAAAATGCTTCAATTTTTTGTTTTTGTTTGTACATTTCTATGTACAACTGTAATGATATTTTTGTCCATACTAATTTAAACTTATCACTCCATGAACTTGTAAATTGTTGCTAGATATTAAAATAATTTTGGATTTTCATCCAGATTGAATTATCTTGCATGTAGACATCTATTAGTCTATAGATAGTTTATAGTGCATTCAACTCCAAAAATCTTAGTACTACAATACAAGGACTATTATACTCTAACACAAGTGCATCAAAATATAAATTTCAGTTAGATCTCTTTATGATTTAATTTTTGAAGTAATATTTACAACTTCCAGATTTTCAATCAAGACAAAGAGACAAGTAGTATAGAGATCAGATAACGATTACAGTCAACCCAAACACGTCTCGTATTTCATAGATTCTAGGTACAGCACTGCCTTTGTTTATTACAAGGAGCACTAATTCAAACTCTACCCCGAGCTCTAGGTATACTAACAGTCCTAACGGTTAACTCTAGTGTAGTTAAAAAATAACGTTATATCCCTACAGGCTATAATTGCTTTGTCGAATATGTACATGAGTATCTAGAGCACACCTAATAAAGTAGGTCTGCTCATGACATCTAGTGAAGTAACTAGCTACATGTGATTGAAATTATGATTTCTATTCTCCACATGTTCTTTTTCAAGAGAGAACACAAGTTCTTCAATCTACTCCAAATACTTGTCATAGAGATATTTTTTTCGAAGATTCAATTTATCAGATCTCATTGTAGAGTGATTTTATCTAATCTTTTGGTTGTATTTTGTTTATGTCTGTTTGATTATTACACTGATTCTCACATCAGAAGATATTAGCCACTCGTGAATATATGACTATAAAGGTTAATGTTGTAACGTTGATAATTAAACTATAGCAAGAAGATGTATAAGATAAAATCACTTATCATGTCTAGTATAATTGATAGAGGAGACTAGCTCCATGTTGACAATTTGGGTTCATCTTGTATTACTTCATTGGTATACCAATACTTTCTGTATATTACTTGGTTACCAATCCCTCGATAAGAGAGACCAATAGCTAAGTGATGCACAATGCCTCGACGGCAGCGACGAAAGAATGTATACCCATTCCATTTTACATGACAGGGTGCAGAATAGATATTTTCCCTCCCCTTTCTCATGTTAGTTAATTCATGTGCTTGAGCACCTTTTGCATGTCAATGTTCACGACAACCAAATCTGCCTTTCGCACGGCTGGCCTCAGCTGCAGACCAGGGATTTCCAACATACGTGTTCTCCTCACCAGAAAAGAAACAATGCATTGTTTCTCAACCATCGGTCGGGCAAAAAAAAGTGTCATCTCAATCGAAACCTTTGTGCAGAACAATCTGCGAAGTTGTCTTCGCATTGGCTAATCGAGTCCCCGTCTCGCCACGTAGCGCTGCTATCTCCCGACTGCATGTGCCTCAAAACCCCTTTCATAAGCGATTGACTCTGAACACTGCCACTCGATTGCGAATCAGCAAATTGGCAGAGGCCTGGAGACTTACCATGAAACGGAATCGGGTTCATGCTCAAAAGCTTGCAAGCCTTTTAGAAAGGTTCAACGAGAATCGTCCTGTCGACAATGCTGTTCTCGGAAAATGGACTACGCCGACATGGAAGTGGTTCGCAGATCTTACTTGTCGTGGGGAGCAAAGTTCGAGTCTTTCTTTGTGTGAGGATTGTACAGCCGACATCCACTCGTTTCGTTTGCCTTGCAGCTGCAGCTCGTCGACGACACACTGCGACTCGTTCGTCTCACAGTCCGAAACGCCAGCTTGGGGGACCAAACTTGGCTGCTGACCTTCCTCTCTCTCTCTCTCTCTCTGTATCTGTTTGTGTGCCAGTGTGACTTTTCCAGCTCGTAGCCGACAAAACGGAGCTCCATCCGCTGTGTTCGTGCACAGAGGAGTCGTCGGGTTGGTTAACATTTTAATTATATGATCTGAGATCAACAGAATCGTTTGACCGACTGTTGCGTGCGAGAAGAATTTGCAATGGCGGTATCTAACCTGATCGGCAGGGCCTGTCATCGTTTTCTTGTGCATCCCGCCTGATCTCTGATCGTGTGCACGTATGCTGCTGCTTCGTGTCAAAATTGGACGGCACGTTCGAGCTATTCGTGGGACGGACTGTTGACGTGAGAGAGAAAATGTTGCGAAGACGCGTGCTGCTGCTGATGATGGTGATGGTATCAGAATGAATGACCTTTAACGCATTCCCAATAGGGATTAATAGTTTTGTCTCTCAGTATCGAGGTTTACAATATGGACTTTCGGAGATCTGAATCTCCAGCTTCTCTCACAAGCGAATCAAAAATATCTACTAGCTGGGGCGGTGATTAGTATCCGCTCAGCAGCTGGAGCTATCAAGAGCCAGGTAGCTTTACAATCTGCAACAGACTCAACGAGATGAATCTACATCTGTTCGCTTCTATAGGTCGGTAGGAAAGATTCAAGAGGAATCGAGTCCGGGTCCTGTCTGTCTGTCGATATGAACTACATTTACAAATTCACATTCTCTGTTTTTGTCGTCAAAACATGGTAAATTTTGGGGCCTCTCCGTGACACTATGTACAGCGATGGGCTCCTCGAGGCCGTGCAGTCTATACACACTAGTACAACAACACAAGGAAAGTTTTCAATCGCACATCTTCTTCATTGCGGAATTTTGAACGAGCTCTTGAACATCTCCAACTTCTTCGTGAGCGCGTTTTGATCGGCCATGATGTTTTGAATGAACGACAGCAAGAGCTGAAACGTCGCCGACTGCGCACTCTCCGGTCTACAGATCGTGATGTGATTGTCCGGCACCGGAGTGCTCGCCTCCGCGTACATCCCTACGGTCGATTCCTTCACCACTATGTCGTTGAAGTATACCTGCACCGATCCAAACCAACAATTCATCAAATTCCACCACGCTCCAGCAGCACGGAGACAAAAACAAAGACCCCATCCCAAGTCCATTCCTGCGCTCATGTAGGATCGATGCAAGAAGAATTCGCGGGTACAATTCAGATCATTTGCAGAATTCCATCGGAACGAGAGCGAAGAAAGTGTGCAATATTTCCAAAGTCTATCGACTGAATATCTTTGTGGTGAGTAGATCTGGATCTGGAGAGGGAGGAGAAGAGGAGGGAGTGCGTACGTGCGTACTCACTCACTCACTCACGTACCAGATCGGTTTTCTCGGTCTCGATGACTTGAGCGATTCTGATGTCGTGCTTCTTAATCAGTAAAGCCATGACTTTGTTGAGCCTGGACGCGTCTTTGCTCAAGACCTCCAGAAGTCCAAGCACAGGAGCTCTTTTGACGCTCTTCTCTGGAAACAACTTGTCCCATCGGGCCAGCTGCGTGCCATGGTGAGGGGTGGACATGTAGAACACGCCCTTGAGGTTGCCCAGAAAGCTCTGCAGCATTCGGTGCCTGGGCTGCTTCAACTTCTCGCGGGCCTCGACATCGACGTGCGCGATCAGCTGCTTGATCAGGATGCCGCCCAGGCTGTGGCCCACGAGAATCACCGGCACCCCTTTCTGGCCGATATACGCAGTGGATCTGGCGTTCGTGATCAGAGCTTCTACTAATTGATCCGCTAGGTTGTATATATCTATGCGGCCCTTCCTGTGGTGCTTCGTGGCGCTCATGTCGTAGCACACGGTCAGAACTCGCGCCTTGTAGCCCAGCTGCGCCAGCGAGTCCGGCAGCAAGGCCATGGGCCAGCATCCTACGCCCGACTTGTATGTGAACGATCTCCAGTACGCGTCCTTCAGGTCCTCCACCGTGAACTGCAGACCATGAAAGAACACTATCTCCACATTCGGCTTCTCTTCCGCGTGCAGCTCAAACACCGACTCGTTGATCTGCAATCCGAGCAACAACACACACACACACACACACACACACAAACATCGACCTGTTAGTTGCTTCACCGTCGTCTCGAGCTGCTCTGCTGCTAGAACGATTCCTTCTCTCGCAGCCAAATCCTGATTCTAACCCAAAGACCTCTCCTCTCCCATGTTCGAAGATGCCCACCTTTGTGAACGAGGGAGCTGGCGACGGTACTTCTTGGCCGGAGGACTCCGGAATCACACCGGCGCTGTGGTCCGCTTTGCTGGATGAAAGACCCATGGAGTAATGCAGGCCTGAAGGATGAAGGTGGAGAAATTTCATCAGCCAAATCAACCACAGAACGAAAGCACCGACACGAAAAATGCTTCAGCCTAGACCTCGAGATCCAAAATACAAAGCAGTTGTTGCAGACGAGAAGAGAGTGAACGTGGCTGCTTTCTTCTTGGGGTGGGGGGAAAGGTCGAGGAGGAGGAAAGGTCGAGGGTGAACTGACCAGCTCTCGACTGAGGACACAAATTTCGCCTCCGTTTCGGTTATCATAAACGCAAGCCTGAAATAAATGCCCGTCCTCTCCGGGAAGATCAAAATCGCCCGGAAGGCCTGTGGGTCTGAGAAGACGCGAGGCTTTCACAGAGGGGAGTTCTACAGAATATAGTATGACTAGCTCAGCTCGGCTCAGCTCAGCTCAGCAGCAGCTCGAAGTGGTCGATCGACACATCGGCGCCATCTGTGGATCTTTTCGTATGATGGTACGACTTACTACTCATTCTCAAGGCCCCGATGGCGAGAGTATATATACGATCGCCACTTGTGGGAGGACTCCAGCTACTGGGGCTCATGCAGAGGAGGCAGCAGCATGGATCGACAACAGGACTCGTCCGCAGCTCAAGGGAGTACAACATCCTCCGGGTTACAGGAATAAGTGTCTAGATCATTTTCTCGCTCTTTTCCTGGCGAAACATTTCGGCACCAGATCTATCTCCCGAGCCGCCTGATCCGCGCCCCACACGAGACTCCCTGGCCATCATCATATTCTGGACCTTGCCAGGCTCTGGAAATCTGGCGAGATTGTGTCACTGATTTCTGGTGTAGGTGTCTAACGATGACCGACCTCTATCATCATCATCTCCTCTTCCTCCTCCTCCTCCTCATCTCCATCACCATCTCCCTCACCATGCGCCCGGGTTCCCTTCCCTTCCCTTCCCTTCCCTCTCTCTCTCTCTCTCACTCCCTCTCTCCCGTTCTCGCTCTTTTCCTGTCTGTCTGTCTATTTCGCGCTCTCGCTCTTGGCTCTCGGCTCTACTCCACCGCTGCCATCGCGTCCGCTTCGGTCTGCTGCGCTCAGTCCTCGAGTCAGCAGCATTCGGGATTTTGCATGAGCCAAGTCATCAGTACCTGCCTGTACTCCTTATACCCCTCCAGAGGCCATCGCCCAGTTGACCGGCTGACATCCACACCCTGCTCATGATTGCCGCCATGGCCCTCCCTCCCTCCCTCCCTCCCTCCCGGACTCCCGGACCGGGCCCCGCCCTCCGCCCGTCGTGTGCCCCCGGGCCGCCCGTGGCTAGGGATGCTCACGGCTCGTCTAACGGCTAGCCGGCTAATATTTTTTTGTTAGCCGGCTAGGCGACGGCTAATCGGGTCACAAAAGAATATTACCACCGCTATCAGAGACCGAAAAAACCCCCGAAAACTAGGACCGAGTTTACGTTTTCGGCTGATTTTTTGTCCGATTCGGCCGAAATTATCAAAAATCGTTTAATTTGGCCGAATATTTCGATACATTGCATTTTCGGCCAATAGCCGAATAGCCGATGGCTAGCCGGCTAACAAAGAATATTAGCCGGCTACGTGACCATGTCTACCCGTGGCATACCCCGCTGACTGACCACGCGCCCTGCCACGCTGGCCCGGTCGCGCGCCCGGTCCCCTGCCCGGCGCATGTCGCTTGTGAGTTGTCGTGGTCGCAACAGCGCGGGCGGGTCGTAGGGACAAGGTCCCGAGTTCCGGTGCTCGGCAGACCTTTCCGGCGTGCGGGCCGATGCCCGCCACGTGCCGGATCGATGGCATGGCTCGGGTCGGCCTCGGCTCCCCTCCAAGTCGCAACTTGGAGGCTCGAGCACTCCAGAAATGCGGTGTCCTCATCGATGCTGCGCAGCTACGATGGCTATGGTGGCCCGACTAGTCCTCGAGGTCCGAGCAAGGGCTGCTCAGGTTGTCGCTCTGGCTCTGGCCGTGGGACCATTGGAGCGTGGATGGGTCGATCGTAGCACAGGCACATTGTGAACACAGTCTCTAGCCCCTCCCCCCCTCCTCCTCTCCTCTCCTCGCCTCCATCATTTAAGGACGGGGAAGGAATCTGGCAGCAGCAGCAGCAAAGTGGCAGTAGAAGGAGAAGGAGAAGTAGAAGTAGAAGTGGTATTGTTGTTGTTGGTGTTGTACCAGCACCACACACCAGCAGCAGCAGAATAAAAAAAGCCTTTTTAGATCAGATGTCCGGCACGGTCTGCTTGCAGTGATCGCTTCTACGATGCACGATGCGCGGTTTCAGATTCCAGAATGGAGAGTGCGCTCGACAAAGTCGAGCGTCCATGACCCTGATCTCGTTCGACACTCTGGCTGCGTTTTGGGAAGCCTTCCAGTTACCACCTTCCCTAAGAAGCGGAATGAAGGAAGACCTGGTGTAGGTGACACACAAAGTCCTCTGTTTTCGCAGGCAGGTAGGCGAATTACTGCGTGCCTGCCTGCGCACCAGTATCCATTTTGACCTCGCGTTCTGCGCATGCGATTAAACCCCCCATCCCCCGAGCGAATCGAGCATCTTCCTCCGATGGCTGTCCAAACTACCGACTACTGCAAGTCCCCAAACACGCTGTCTCAGTCGATGGTAGACACAACCCCGCTACTCAGTCCTGCTTTCTTCCAAGAGGTGGAGCCCATGGCGCAATGTATGTATGTACGCATGTGCATGGCCTCACCAGGTCATGAGTCCAGGCCAGAATCACTCCCCGGCTCACAAAGCAAACAAAGGAGGAGGTGAAACAGAGACAACATATTACAGTCCAGGGAAGAACTGAAACACTGCACAGGCTATGGGACAATGGCACAATGGCACAATGGCACAATGGGAATTTGGCACTTATGGAAAGCTCCGATCACATCAAACGGTCTGGACTCAGCTCCAGAGCGGGTTGTGAACACAACCCACTTTCAGCGCTGAATCTTTGTCATGCCCTTCGTGTCACATTCGAGCATCAGTTTAATGAAAAGCTAGTCCTGTGACTCTGTTGTCATTCCTCCTCGCATGCTTGCTATCCGATAGATGCATCGGAAAAAATAATGTATCAAGAGAGTACGTCTCCTCATTGCCGGTGTACCCATATTCTCTGATTCCCCAACTCGCTGAGCGCAGATCGGGAATCCTTCGGATCCCAAGTACGGTAGTTCCGGTACTGGTTGAAGCATAGATTCTTCACCCTCGTGAAGAAAAGTCAAGTGGCAATGATTCTGACAACTCTTTTAAATAGTCGAGTTGCTATACGCGAGGCCTTTTTGACACCCCCCGATGCCCCACCCCAACCCACTGTTGGCAAAGACAACGACGCCTTCCCAGAAGCTCTGGACCTAGACACTTTCTATCCTCGCCACCACAAAATTTGTCTGGATTGCGAAAATATGAGCCTTAGTTGGATCGCATTGCAACGGTATGACGGACCGAGGGACTGAATATTCATCCCACTGACGTCGAGACAAATCGTGAGTCCTGGTCCTTCCAGCATTCTCACCACAGTAATCGGCTATGGAGAAAAATATTAGATGCAGTGACTGAATGACTGAGTGACTGAGTGACTGAATCTTCATCATTGAATCCCCGAGCTCGTTTACTTTTGGAAGCTTCACACGATTCCCTGTAATTCGTGGAAGTGGATGAGGGTGATGGTCGACGGCGTCACGGTTCGAGCGTGCCCTACGGAGATGAATGGCTGGCACGGACTGGGAGGGACATTGTGGACGAGCGCGAGCACGGCAGTAACAGAAAGGGCTGCGGCAACTCTACAGGGCGAAATAGTTGCAGCCAGGGTCTGAGTCCTTGGGCGAATGGCGATCGGTGGGAGATGGTGGTGGCTTTCATCCGAGCAAGGAGTCATTCGGCTCCTGGGGTTGTGGAGCTGCGTCTAGTGTAGGCCCGTAGCCATAGAGGGGACGCGGCAATCCATGGCCCTGGGATTGGGACTGGGACTGGGAGTGCGGGAGCTTTCTCGCTCGCCGACTTTGGTCGATGATTCTGGCCATGACCCTTCTGCTCTTACTCTCACTCTTCCCCCCTCTCGGACCTCGAGGTCTATCTACCCTCACTGCAGATCGGTGTCCCTTAGCGCGCAAAGTTCAGCGGATGGTGCTTTCGCACGTGGGATTGATGGTGCTGAGCCCTGCCTTGTTCCTCACCTACTGCGCCTCGGATCAATTCGCTTTGTGCTGATTCCCCTCTTCCCATGGGGATGAGGATCGTGAGATCCTTCTCCATAGCGCGGGGAGCTCTTGGGGAGGCGAAGTTGAGAAGTGTCCGGGTGTTTGTTGTGACCCCATCTCCATTTCAGCTTCATATGCGAATGTATTCTCCCCGGATGTTCTCAGAATTCACCATCTCTGCCTTCACTCAAGCTCCCATCCTCAAATTGATCATTCTCACTCGTTTCGCTAATTTCTGAAAAAGAAACTCTGCAAAAGTCATAAGCTCTGAGATACAGCCGGTTAAATAGCCCAATTTATGGCAGAAGTCGGCTGCCTTGAAGTGTCGCGAGGCCGATGGTGCTCTGGGGCTTAACTGGTTATCCTCTCGGTCACGTCACAGTCATCACTTGACCCGAGTGATTCTGCCGCACGTTTCGGGTCTAACTAACTGCCTCAACCTTCAAAAGCACAGCTGCTGATGGTGCACATGCTGTGCTTTTACGCTTCGAGTTTCAGATCTTTACTCCACTGCTACCATTTTTGCTCGTGCGATGCTATATTTGAACCGTGGGGGGATTTACTTGGCAGCAGCACGATCGACTATGGCGAAGGGCGGTGTTATTGAGCCCTGGAAGAAGATACAACGGAATCGTTGATCGAGTCAAAGTTTGATTGAATTTTGGTTCAAGCAGGTAACGGATTAGCCGAATTCCATAGCCGAATTTCATCATTCTGGGATCCGGGTGAACCATACTAGCCGTGAGCAAGGCACAGCATGCCAGTCCAACTGCTTCATTCTCCCGGTACTGAAAAGAATGCCGACTCTTCAGTAAACTTTATACAGAGCTTGGACACTCGTCCAGGCTGAATGTCTGCACACAACGTAATTATCTCGGGCTATGGAAATCCACTAGAAAAAGTGAGGAGGGACCAGATCTCTTGAGCTTCCTTATAAGCTCCAGCAAATTTGCAATTCGGGTCTCATGAGTCTCGCTCGCAGTTAGACCAAGGAGCGTGCGTCTGCCCATCCACACCTTTGAATGGATGCACAGTGAATACTGAAAGTATGGTGGAAAATCGTAAGTGCTGAGGCAGCGAAGTTTCTCAAAATGAAATGATTAAACAGCAGAAATATTTGGAGACGACTGAAGTCAATCGTCTCGTACAGTAAGGCTGGAGGGAAGTGTCCTGGTACCGATGCCAGGGATGACCAAAGAACATTCCTTCCAATATTCTTCTGTTTGACTTGTGTGCAAAGGATTCAGCAGGAAAGCGGCCAAAGAGCGCATGATGGGAGAGACCAGATATGATGGACAGTAAAAGTGGTTTCTTCAAGAGAGTCAGTACCTTTTTAACTTGACTTCCAGATGTGCAAATGTCACACTAAACTGTATTGCGGAAGCCACGTACGTGTCTCTGGCCCCACCAGAAGTGACGAGGGAAAGAGAAGGATTGGTGCGCAACTTTCACGTGACCATAGAGATGTGAATGTGGTATATGTCGAGTTTCAGATGGTGAGGGCCGAAGATGGAAGTTTGAGCCTTGAATCTGCGCAAAGGGACGGAAATTTCCATTTGGGGATCTAGAAGATTCAAAGCTTTCTCGATCCTGTCCACAGAAGACGTGAGCTTTCTTTCTTCTGCGTCATGTGCGTCGGGATGAATTGACTCAATGTTCACAGATAAAGGTATGAACGTCCCACGCGAAGGATAGGACCGAGAATCTGAGTACCAAAATCCATCAGCATGCGGCACAGTCTGCATTTCAGGGTTATGGATAATCCAAAAGACCTACCTGTTAGCCTAAGAATACAATTTCGCATGCTTGGGCACCTGTAGGCCCAGCAGAATTTCCTTGCTCGTTGGCAGCAGCGACGCCTTTAGTCCCAACAATCACAACCTTTCTGTCCTCGACGGTCGAGGTCACTCTGTACGCGGAGGATGGACGATAAGTCCTTTGAGTGTAGATAAGATCGGAACATGCTTCTAGACGAGGACTCGGTCGTGAATTCACACTGCAAGAGGTTCAGAGCTTGATCGCGACTTCGAGGTTCCTCATAGCATGGCTCCTCACATATTGAGGAAGACTCATAATCCTTCGGCAGCATTTAGAACAGCCATGGAGAGAATCTGAGGTTTGAGGACTTGTAATCCCAAAGGGATTCACCCTTGAACCTGGAGAACAAGAGACAATCTGCCGACCGGAAAGACTTTAGATGCCCGAGGAAAAGACTCTATTGTAAGTGTTAAGCGACTACGCGTCTTCTCGTGCACGGTTTCTCTTCCATCTGGATAGGCAGACATGTTGGAAGTGCAGGTGACAATGAGGAACCTTTTTGGTCCAACACCTTCGTGTTCAGCGCGCTGGGCATCAAAATCGGAAATTTAGAACGGATTCAGGTCTCCTCGTCGCATGGCTGCCGACATCAACAAGGCATGATCGTCAGGCTGCTTAGCAGGGAATGATTGCGATGAATGTCTCGAGACGACAAGAATTTGTGTACACTGAGACTGGACAATATATAGACCGTGCATTCCTCATCAGTTCTGACTGTCCTCTCAGGGATTCTTACTTCTCTTTTCACAGAGTTTCATGGTTTCCCGACAGTCCTTGTTTAGTAGGTCCACAATAGAATTTCGTTCGTTAGTTCTCAGAGAGGTTTGCATTTCTCTGCCTCGCTTTTCCACCATATGCTCAGGAAAGCATGACTGCGGACTAGATCCAAGCTCTTGTCAAGAGAGACTCGGCCCTGACCTCTAGGTCCCCGATATTCTGGAGCGTGGGCCTTCACTGACATTATTTTCAGTAAAGACACTTGCGAAACACCGGATCCTCGTGTGAAGTATCAACCTGGATATGATCACAAGTTCTTTTGATCTCTCGGAATTGGATTTGAAAAAGCTCCTACGGTCACAGATGTAACCCAATATTTTACTGGGCTGGGCTTTTCAAAAGTTCACACATTGGAACAATTTTCCTCCCCGGAAACAGGTGGTACTTTCCTGAGTACAGATTCGGGCGGGCTATTGGCGCAAAGTTCGCTCCATCACCATCGTCATTTACATGCTCTGAGACGGAACTCTGGCTGTGTGACACAACAAACGCTTACTAATTTTCGTAAGTCATGCACTGAATCGTGACAAAGCATCGCATGGAGTGTTCTGAAGTTCATAGAGTCTTCATGTTGACCACTGAGATATCTGCTCAGTCGCATTGACAGCAAAAGCTGCAAATACTAACGACCTTCGACTGGCCTTCCTACTAAGCTTAGGTCTCTTCCTTCTCGTGTCTTGAGTTCACCGAGCAAATCACCGGAGTTGACAGAAATTCTCCAACAACGAGAACTGAGAGTGAGAGTGTCAGCGAGAGAAGGGCCAAACAGAGTCTGGACCAGCATTTCTCGTGCATAAGGCTACAGGAGACTCAGACACGGGGGACAAAATTCTGTAGAGGAATGGAGAACAAACATGCCTCCTTGTGGAGACGGTTTGACCTCGGATGTGATAAGATAGGAGGCGACGCTGTCGGCAACCTCATTGCTAGAGTAGGATTCAATCACGGGAAGGAGTGCTCAAGCTCTCAGTCCTCAGAGCCAGGGTGGCACTGATGCGTGGAGGCCCTGCAAGCAGAGTCGGGTGTGAGTCTTGGATTCAGACCTGAATTTGGTATTAGAATTAAGGTTTAGGCCAGAGGATGTATACCTAGAGACTATTTCTTGCCAATTCAACAGTAAATTTCTCAAAATTTACTGCCAAAATTTCCCCCAATCCATCACTTTGACAGACTTCACAACAGTCAGGACACGTCGTCGAAGATGGAGTGTCGGAATTTGCATCCCCTCGCGTAGAAGCTTACAGAGTTCCAAATGGTCACATCTGGCGTCTTAGCCACTCCAGGCAGAAAGCGGTCGAACACGATTGACAAAGACAGGCAAAACAGAGACAGATCACGGAGCCAGTCGATCCGAGACGTGGACGTTCATTTACAGAGACAGATGGGGAAGCTCCCTTTGGCACGGGGACATCGACAGGTCCGATGTGGTGACGGCCGTGGACACGGAATTGGAGGTCAGATCTCGTACGCCTCATCGTTCACTCGACGATGATGCTGGAGCCGTCGGAGCTACGGAGCCGACGAAGCCTTGAGAAGAAGCAGACGAATATCAACAGCAAGTCAACAGCATCCTCAATTTCCATCTTTGGACCCGACAAAGGAGACAAAAGTGCAAAAGGGCGGCCGAACTCGTCGAGCCCATCCGGACGAATTGGGAAACCCAGACGCAGCGAAAAATCGAGGACCGTCGCCGAACTGTCCCTGCTCTACGAGAATTAAGACCGCCTCCTCGACCGCCCGTGTCTCCCAAGATCATGCCATACAATCAATCCGGCTTCCCTCACCAGTCGACACGAAAACCCCATAGCCGATCGCGTGCACCCACTCGAATCGATCCTTCCCATTACTCGCCGACCCTCTTCGGGCAGAGAGCTCAGTGACCGACATGAAATCAGGATTGTGACATTAATTCAAAGGTCTTGTACCGAGCCCTCCTATCTACTTCACTCTCCCACTCTCGCCCGCCATCGCCGAGCTCGGATCACGAGAGCGCCACACGCATCCGGGGTGGGCCGTTGGGGGAGGGGGAAAGAACGACAAGTTCTTTTTCAACGCAACGCCATGGGCATGGAAGCGTACGGACACGGCGGATGAGGTGGTGCAACGTGGACAAGAGCGCCCCCGCGGCGAGGAGTGAAAGAAGACGGGCGCGCTCGCGCCCTATCCTCGTAACACGGGCGGGAGTGTGGGGGCTACATGTGAGCCCGGGCGGGATTGCGCGGCTAAATTTGGAGGCGCTTTCCGCCGAGGCCGTGGCTAGCTTGTAGCGGAGATCAGAACGATGGGGGGAGGAAATGGGAAATGGTTGGCTGGCGGGAGGGGAGACCGGAGGACCATTCGCTGGAAGTGGATCGGGAAGGGGTCCGCCGCAGCGAGCTGCTTGCTTTACCCGCGAGTTCTATGGCCCGCAGCATGACACGCGAGCCCGGGCGATCCAGCGCTATCCAATTCTGATTAGCTGAACCAATCACCAGGGAATTGGAATCTCTCGCATCGGCCAGGTTTCGGCCATCGCCCAGCGCCGCAGCATTTGCCTCGACGAGCGCCGTGTAGTATATACAACCTCTTCGATCCTGCAGCACAGCGCACGCTGATCATCTCCAGACTCGCTCACTCGATCCCTTCTTCCACCTCGATCTCTCTCACCTCCTTCCAGCGAAAATGGCATCTCTCGCCTGCGCTGCCGTGTCCGTGCCCTCGTTCGCCGCCCTGAATGCGGGAGTGAGCAAGACCTCCAGCGTCTCGACCCGATCCAGCGTCGTCTGCAGCGCTGCTCCCATCGAGAGCAACTGGTCGAAGGTCGCCAAGGGCCTCGTCGCCACCGGCGCCTCAGTGCTGCTCGCTGCCTCTGCTGCCTCCGCAGCCACTGTCAAGCTCGGATCCGACTCCGGCGAACTCATCTTCGTGCCCCAGGAATTGACCGTCTCCGCCGGCGAGAGCATCACCTTCGTCAACAACCAAGGCTTCCCCCACAACGTCGTCATCGACGAGGGTCCCGATGGAGTCGACACCGACGCTCTGAGCCACGACGAGTACCTGAACGGCCCCGGCGAGAGCTTCAGCATGAACTTGGCTGACAAGGGCACCTACAGCATCATCTGCCAACCCCACGCGAATGGTGGCATGAAGATGGTCATCACTGTGCAGTAAACAGCGGTCCCCTTTCCTTTCGAGGAAATCCAGGATAGAGGCAGAGCAGACCTGTGAAGGCAATTGTAACTTTAAGTGCGTGTGTGTTATGGTATACTAGAGATGACAAGTCGTCCAGAATTGGATCGAGGAGCGAGATCGAACCCGCGAATCCGTCGACGTTTCCTTGTGTTAATACGAACTCTAGGGATTCCTTTTGCAATAAAGAGGTTCTAGAGCCATGGAATTGATTTTGCTCACTCTCGGAGCGTCCTTGACGATTGTCTGTACTTCACAGTTTTGCTCTTCTCGGTAGAAAGGACTATTCTTTCAGAACAAGCAGGCGGACTTTGCCTCAACACTTATGTTTCGTCATTGTTCTTTGTATAAAAGATAGCGTTCATACACGCGGATGCTGGCAAGTCAGTGATGTTGACGTGAAATTCAGTTAGATATCTGTGGACACGACAATGCACGAGGATTTTCTAGTAGTTGTAAAGTTGATGGTTGTGCACGCAATTTGCTCTTTCGCGCGATACGTCACCTACCGACACCTCGAACTGATAGTCAGGCGAAAGATAGGTTTGTTTGGAAAATCGTGTGACTGAAGATATGTATACTCTGTCGAGCGAAGAAATAAGCAACGGAATTTATAAGTGACAGTAAATAATGTTGTGTTAACCATTGCAGATATTGAAACTGAGTCTGCACTTTGTTTTCTGACATAAACGTAATAACGATGGAACGAGTATGATTATCTATTAGACGCGAAATATTCCTAGTTGACATTTTCAAGTTGGCTGTAACAATGTTCAATTCTCAGTTGGAAAAGCTTGAAAATGCGTCACGTATCACAACAGCAGATTGTGGAGAAAGATAACGTTTCGAACTAATAAAAACAAAAAATGAAGATAACGATAATGAAAATGATGAAAATTAGAAGTGAAAAATGTGAAAAATGAAGAAAGTAAAGTGGAAGGATATATGATAAAATGTTGTCAAATTTGAAATTCAGAAAAGATCAATTGAAAGAAAATATATGTACCATTCCCTTCTGAGAGGAAGAGAAATAAGTGGAGAAGAAATAACAACAATAAAACTCTGTATCAAAATAATAGGGAGGATGAAATGGCGAACATGATAATCCACATACAACAATACATAATCATCTCTTCTGTAAACTTCAAAACATCAGAAAACCTCCAGGAACGTGGAAAAAAAATGATTGCTTGAGGAAAACACAGCGAATTCATATCAACTAGTACTGTGTCATTGCAAGCGACAACTTCAGCGGAATGATCGGAGAACGTATATACTTTATTTACAGTATGAATCTAACCAATTCTTTGTCAAAGATGTGGACAGACAGGAATATGAAATTACGAACGGTTACAGCTTGAAATTGCGCATGAACTTCACGAGACGCTGATTTAGTTTCCTCCTCGCAGACGCAACACCAGATGCAACGTCGACTCTTTTTGAATGTTGTAATCGGCCAGTGTACGACCATCTTCCAGCTGCTTGCCAGCGAAGATCAATCGCTGCTGGTCGGGAGGAATTCCCTCCTTGTCCTGGATTTTGGCTTTCACATTGTCGATGGTGTCAGAGCTCTCCACTTCCAGAGTGATGGTTTTCCCCGTCAGAGTCTTGACGAAGATTTGCATTCCTCCTCTCAAACGGAGCACCAAATGGAGAGTAGACTCCTTCTGAATGTTGTAGTCTGCGAGCGTGCGGCCATCTTCGAGCTGCTTGCCAGCGAAGATCAGCCTCTGCTGGTCTGGTGGAATTCCTTCCTTGTCCTGAATCTTGGCCTTCACATTATCGATCGTGTCCGAGCTTTCCACCTCCAGAGTGATGGTCTTTCCGGTCAGAGTTTTGACGAAGATTTGCATACCTCCCCTGAGACGAAGCACCAAATGGAGAGTGGACTCCTTTTGGATGTTGTAGTCTGCGAGGGTACGACCATCTTCGAGCTGCTTACCAGCGAAGATCAATCTTTGCTGATCAGGAGGAATGCCCTCCTTGTCCTGAATCTTAGCTTTAACGTTGTCGATAGTGTCGGAGCTCTCCACTTCCAGAGTGATCGTTTTGCCGGTCAGCGTTTTTACGAAGATCTGCATTCCTCCTCTCAAACGGAGCACCAAATGGAGAGTGGACTCCTTTTGGATGTTGTAGTCTGCGAGAGTGCGGCCATCTTCGAGCTGCTTACCAGCGAAGATCAGCCTCTGCTGGTCTGGTGGAATCCCTTCCTTGTCCTGGATTTTTGCCTTCACGTTGTCCACGGTGTCGGAGCTTTCCACCTCGAGAGTGATCGTCTTTCCTGTGAGGGTCTTCACGAAGATTTGCATACCTCCCCTGAGACGAAGCACCAAATGGAGAGTGGACTCCTTTTGGATGTTGTAGTCTGCAAGGGTGCGGCCGTCTTCGAGCTGCTTTCCAGCGAAGATCAACCTCTGCTGGTCAGGGGGAATTCCCTCCTTGTCCTGAATCTTGGCCTTCACATTATCGATGGTGTCGGAGCTTTCCACCTCCAGAGTAATTGTCTTACCCGTGAGGGTCTTCACGAAGATCTGCATCCCTCCCCTCAACCGAAGCACCAAGTGAAGGGTGGACTCCTTCTGGATGTTGTAATCTGCAAGGGTGCGGCCGTCTTCGAGCTGCTTTCCAGCAAAGATCAACCTCTGCTGGTCAGGGGGGATTCCCTCCTTATCCTGAATCTTGGCCTTCACATTGTCGATGGTATCGCTGCTCTCGACCTCGAGCGTGATGGTCTTTCCCGTCAGCGTCTTCACAAAGATCTGCATGTTCTCTACTTCCTACGATTTACTGAACAACAAATAACAATCTGGAACGAACAATTCCAGCGCTTGCTCCTTCGAATACACTTACGAACACAACTTCGAAGTGAATTACTATCTAACTAGAGGCAGTAGTATCAGAGACTGTTGAGGATCAATGCTGAGCCCGGGAACTTATACTGCCAGCCAATCGACTCACGGAGCCCCTGAAGACTTCGACTTGTTGGCCAAGTCACCCTGAACTCAATTGATGATGACCAGCGATCACAGTGACGGTACAGCCAGCGAGACATGCAATTTCCAACTGCATTCTCTTATTTTGTACAACTGTACATCCTGTCATCACAAGCGGAGGAAATCCAGGTATTTCAAATCGCAATCATCTAAAACTAAAACTGAAACTGAGGACGCACAGTAAATCAGACTTACCCTCCTCCATCTCAACGGTCTACTCCAAATTTCAAGCACTCTGCACGACATAGAATGACATGCTCAAAGCAACAGTATTGGTTTGATTGAATTGCGTTTGAACCCACTTCAGCTTGGATGCTATTGGAGAACAGCTTGTGAGAACAATTAGATTTTTTAAGCATATTTACTCGTCGTATATATCGTTTCAATGAGGGACCGTTGGAATTTCAGCTGAAGAAGTTTCCCCCCTTTCTTCTTTGTTTCGCCTTTTCTTTGACACAAAATGTTCGCATTTTTACTTTGAAGTTTTCCTCGATGGAGGCGGGTCAAAACCTTCCATTCCATGCTTAGGATCTGCCATACAACTTTCATTCTGCAACCTTGCATCCAGTCTCGGGCTTTTACCATCTCGTTTGTATTCATGTAAATTGAAATTGTCCAGCCTCGACAATTTTTTATCTGGTGAATGTGAAGTGGGGTGGTAAAATGTCTCTGCTGGTTCAAAGTCACACTCAAACTATGGTTTACGGTGGCCATTAAAAAGCCTGGAGGAAGTGTTAGAAAGAGGAAATTAAAGATATTATTGGTGATTCACTTGTTACAAAGTTTCACGTCTTCCAAACCTTTGATTCCTTCTGCAGCCAGAGTCCATACCGTTGAGAACATTGATAAAAACAATCTATACTAAAAATTCATTCGGCCCAGAGTTTTATATATTTCAGTGTCTTGGATAAGTGCGGTAAAGCAGAGGATCCTTGATACCAAAATCTTCAAAAGTTTAAAGGAAATTCTTTTCCGACCTGTTTAGCACCCTACAATCCTGAACGAGTCGTCATCGCTAACGTGCACTCCTGTACTTTACTTCATTCCTTCCACAAATGTTGTTGCTTTCGCTGTCTTTCCATAAATTAGTGGGACCATATTTGTATTCTATTCTTGGACGATTACTTCTTCTCTTGTAATCTATTGAATGAAAGATCTTTGAGTGAAAACTCCACTTGCAGCATTTGCTCATATTATATGATTACTCGTCTTGTCCCATGACAGCACAGTAGTATGTGGTGAATCATCTATGAAGGCTTATCTATTGTTGAATTAGCACAGAAAACGTGTTTTTCATCTCTCTGTTCTAACATTTTTCTTTCTTTCTAAAAGACGCCGTCTCAAAGAGTTTGATATGCATTTTTTTACTATGGCCAACCTAAATCGTCGGATTCCTTTCAAAGACATACATGTGATAAATGTGTCACTTCAAAAATGAACAATGACGTGCCTGTTGGTAGGAAGGACAAATGCTTAACAGAATAAGTGAAGTAACTAGTTTGCAGTATGCGCAGGAAAGGAGAACCTAAAAGCATTCATTGTTTAATAAATATCTGGAGGATGAGATAAAACTACTAAGAACATCAACAGAATGTACACCAAATTTTGGTAGAGGTCAACTAGGAAGGTATCTTGATACTTTTCATCATCGAAACCGTTAACAGCGTGTTGTGTGATTTATGCAACTTGGCTAAAGGGGACTACCCAGGTTTACTTGCTCCATGTGACTAAACCTTTCAATCACCTGTCAAGGAGTGGGTAAATTATCGATGGTGATACACCATCATGCCCAACGATGAAGAAATCTTGGAACTAGGCCCTGGTAATATTATGATGTAAAAAAGTTAGATATATTATTCAGAAAAAATAATAATTTCTGTTGTAAATAATTTAAATCATGTGTTAAAAATAAATCATAACATAATATTCTTTATAACTTCGTATGAATCTCTCACTCTATAACATTTCATGTAGAGATATATATCTTTAGAGTATTCTTTTGCTGCACTTAGTTTTCAAATTTCACTAGCAACTCTCATGCGGAACGCACGGTCCATATTTTATTCAATGAAAACTTAATATGGAGTGAATATTATGAGGATTCCTATTACTATTACTATTACCATTACCCTCGACACATTTCACAAGGACCTCGATTCACCTTTCTTCACGAGAGATATTATAGGAAGGTTCACCTGATCGGGTCATCAAGTTGACTCGAGAACAATGATGGCCTTTTCAACGGGCCGACTTCGTCATCCCCCGTCACTTGGAGGCGCGAATCTCATCCCATCGACAGCAGCGTGTGGTTGTTGACTCGAGAAAAGGGTGAAGAGTCAAGTGAACTTTCACTCTACCACTCAGATTGGAATATCGCTTTGATTGTAGGGAAGGTCTGATCCACTTGCAGCAAGTACAGTTCAGTTCGGTGTCGTCAAATGTCCAATTTGGACAATATTTTCCTTTTAATAGCACGGAAGCAGTTCTGTGACTGTAGTTCCTGGATGTCGATTCCTGACTTTCGGCAAAATGGCGCATGGCTTCGAGGCCACCTGCGATTCGACCGTCCCTACATATCACAACACTGTACCTTCATCACCGCATCGGTTCGAGTACGATGATGCCAACATTCCGAATTTCGCCTACAGAGGACATTCCTCGCAGCTAGAAGACGGTTGGCAGAGCTGATCGAGGCATGCACAGGGGACCGATTCCTGTACAGAGTGGAAATCCTCTCGTCCCCTCGTCGTGCTGAAGTGAATTGCCTGTAGCCTCGCCGACTTTCCTCTCGACAGATGTTCTCGATCGCACTCCACGAACCAAACCACAGTCGATAATAACGACAGTCAATCGTTCGGGTGCGTGTGCGCTACTTCACGCAATTAAGCCTCGAGGTCGCGGATCTCCAGCCGCATCAGATTCTGACCTCCAGTGTTGATATTTTCAGCGTTCTCCGTCCACACTCTGTCACGATATTTCCTCGTCGCTTTCGCAGACGCTCTGCGCCACGTGCCGCGGCGCAGGGCGAAGTCACATGCTCCGACACCTTCCTACGTTTCATGCGATTAGATCGACGGCTGAGATTGACCGTGGAGTGAATTCGATATTTCCGTTAATTCTTAGGATTTAGTTTTGTCGAAATGACTCAAGGACTGATTCTACCTCAGAGCGCAACGTGCCCACTGTGCTTCAGAGACTGTGTAATCACATGCATATCATGTTATAGAGCATTGGATCCTCGCCAGCAAAAGGAAATAAAAAACCAAACTGGTTAAAACAATGAATTGGCCAAACTAATAGGAAATAATGCAATTGTCTGTCTTGAAAATCTGACAAATCGTACTGACATTACCCTGATTTTCTGTACATCTTCTTTTACTCATTTGTGAGTGTTCAGTGCATTCAGTGTGATATGACCATGAAATCATACACGACGGTCGCTCTAGCCTCAGACGATCGTTGTAATGTCGACATTTGAGTTTGACGAATTGCTTTTTTATCATTCATTAGCGGCTTTTGGAAATACACATTCGTTCTAGCTACACCCATCATCAAAGGGATGAACAGAGAATGGAAATTTGTCGTTTGGCATATGATGTGTGCTGTATAGAGTCAGGTGGGGGAGATACAAAAACAATACGAGAAGACTCGAGCCCATATATATCTGTTGGCTGGCAGATAGTCAGCTTCTGCCAGTACAAAAATTATATTTCTTGTGTGCTGTGTTCAACACAGAGCGGTAATTACATGTGCATTTTGAGTACACAAGGAAGAGTACTATGAAAGCCTGAGCTATATACATGTTGAAACGGAACCAAATCTTGGACAGAGCAGCTAGAGCTCTCGTTCAATTGAAAGATTTACATGATAACCTCCAGCATGAATGCATAAATGTGACTTCCCTAGGACAAAGCGGAATTAATCTCCATGAGGAAATCAGAGTCGACTCATTCGAATGGTGTCGTTGGCTAAGGTCCCATAATACTCCACTAGTCTTCCGAATAACAGATTCCTGCAAAGACCGGGAGGAGTACCCTTCTCGTCCTGAACCTTAGCCTTGACATGTAGAAGGCGTATGAGCTTTGCACCTCCGAAGTGTGAAGGTCTTTCCAGTCAGAGTCCAGCAGTAGTAACGGAAATTTACATGCCTCCCCTCAGACGAAGCACCAAATGGAGAGTAGACTCCTTCTGAATGTTGTAGTCTGCGAGGGTGCGGCCATCTTCGAGCTGCTTGCCAGCGAAGATCAGCCTCTGCTGGTCTGGGGGAATTCCTTCCTTGTCCTGAATCTTGGCCTTCACATTATCGATCGTATCCGAGCTTTCTACCTCCAGAGTGATGGTCTTGCCGGTCAGAGTCTTGACGAAGATTTGCATACCTCCCCTGAGACGCAGCACCAAATGGAGAGTGGACTCCTTCTGGATGTTGTAGTCCGCGAGAGTTCGGCCATCTTCGAGCTGCTTTCCAGCGAAGATCAGCCTCTGCTGGTCTGGGGGAATCCCTTCCTTGTCCTGAATCTTAGCTTTCACATTATCGATCGTATCCGAGCTTTCTACCTCAAGAGTGATCGTCTTTCCAGTCAAAGTTTTGACGAAGATTTGCATACCTCCCCTGAGACGAAGCACCAAATGGAGAGTGGACTCCTTTTGGATGTTATAGTCCGCGAGAGTTCGGCCATCTTCGAGCTGCTTGCCGGCGAAGATCAGTCTCTGCTGGTCTGGGGGAATTCCTTCTTTGTCTTGAATCTTAGCCTTGACATTATCGATGGTGTCGGAGCTTTCCACCTCCAGAGTAATTGTCTTACCCGTGAGGGTCTTCACGAAGATCTGCATACCTCCCCTCAGACGAAGCACCAAATGGAGAGTAGACTCCTTTTGGATGTTGTAGTCTGCGAGGGTGCGGCCATCTTCCAATTGCTTACCGGCGAAGATCAACCTCTGCTGGTCAGGGGGGATTCCCTCCTTGTCCTGGATCTTGGCTTTGACGTTGTCGATAGTGTCGGAGCTCTCCACCTCGAGGGTGATGGTTTTGCCAGTCAGAGTCTTGACGAAGATCTGCATACCTCCCCTCAACCGAAGCACCAAATGAAGAGTGGACTCCTTTTGGATGTTGTAGTCCGCGAGAGTTCGGCCGTCCTCGAGCTGCTTACCGGCAAAGATCAGCCTCTGCTGGTCTGGAGGAATTCCCTCCTTGTCCTGAATTTTGGCTTTGACGTTATCAATGGTATCGGAGCTTTCTACTTCTAAAGTGATAGTCTTACCGGTGAGTGTTTTCACAAAAATCTGCATACCTCCTCTCAAACGAAGAACCAAATGGAGAGTTGATTCCTTTTGGATGTTGTAGTCCGCAAGAGTTCGGCCGTCTTCCAATTGCTTGCCAGCGAAGATCAGCCTCTGCTGGTCTGGGGGAATTCCCTCCTTGTCCTGGATCTTGGCCTTCACGTTGTCGATGGTGTCGGAGCTTTCAACCTCCAAAGTGATCGTCTTGCCCGTGAGGGTCTTCACGAAGATTTGCATCCCTCCCCTCAACCGAAGCACCAAGTGAAGAGTCGACTCCTTTTGGATGTTGTAGTCCGCGAGAGTTCGGCCGTCTTCCAATTGCTTGCCAGCGAAAATCAGCCTCTGCTGGTCTGGGGGAATTCCCTCCTTGTCCTGAATCTTAGCTTTCACGTTGTCGATGGTGTCGGAGCTCTCCACCTCGAGGGTGATGGTCTTGCCGGTCAGAGTCTTGACGAAGATCTGCATCCCTCCCCTCAACCGAAGCACCAGATGGAGTGTGGATTCCTTCTGGATGTTGTAGTCGGCAAGGGTGCGTCCGTCTTCGAGTTGCTTGCCGGCGAAGATCAGCCTCTGCTGGTCAGGAGGAATTCCCTCCTTGTCCTGAATTTTAACCTTCACATTGTCGATGGTATCACTGCTCTCGACCTCGAGCGTGATGGTCTTCCCCGTCAGAGTCTTCACGAAGATCTGCATGATCCTTCTTCTTCTCACTCACTTCCTTTCCAACTAGGACGACAATCAATCAATCCACGAACGAAATGGAATCGACAGTACTCTGCCTGCTCCACGAAACAAAATTAACGAAACTATTAGACGTAAATTTCTATGTAGTAGAAGTACTGCTGGAAGAAGCAGTGTCGATGATAACCAACAATCAGAAACCGCTGAACTACAATTCCCAGCCCCGTGTACTTATACAACAAAGGACCCCGTCGTTTGTGACCGCCCGGGTAGGGTCAATCATGACTTCAACTTGTTCTCCAAGTCTTCGCTGCTCGATGAATGACGACGACGGTACAGCACGACAGGCAGAGATGGCCAGACAGACGAGCGATCATTTACCACTGGCAGCCTATTTTTTTACTATTACTCTGTCCTATTCTCCTCAGCCTGAGAATCATGATGCATCTCGCGCTCTGTTCACTTGGAACAATCTAGTCATTCTTCCTTCCTTCCTTCCTTCCTTCCTTCGAAAGCGGGTCGGCCTTCACCTTCCTGGAAATCTGCCTGAATTTCCTGTGGGCTCAGCTCCTCGTCCAGATATTTCTGCGAGGTCCTTCCTTGTGTGCATGAATGTCTTCATGAACGCTCGAATTTCGTCTTTCTCCGGGTCATGATGAGCACGCCCACTGACCTCCAGTGGCTGAGCACGAGTATACCCCACCACCCAATCGATACGCGCGGTTGTTATTATTTCGTTCACGAGAATGAGGCCTAATCTAGAACGAATCAAATGGTAAGTAAGAGGACCCAGAGGACCCTCATCTCTCCATACGAATGATTGGCAGACGCACAGCAAACATTTCAAAAGCGCTCGTACGTACTCTTGAAAAGTGTAATTTAGTACCTTCATTATGGTTCCTTATATTTTACGATGGTGACTTTATATGGCAGAATGTCATTTCAACTTCGTATTGAACACGTTGGTACTCTGGGGAATGAACACATGGTACTAACAAATCATTACAGTGGTTTTACGACACTCAGTGCATTCTACATGCAACTCGTCGGGCTTGGCAGATTGCACGGGCTGGTACGTTTCTGCACTCTTCTCTCGGATATAGGAAACGAATGCATAATTTCTATCAGTGAATATTGATCACATGTGGAGTGCAGCGTCCATGTCCGGCTTTTTTCCCACAAGGCCTGTGCTGGAATACGTGACTCCTTGGCAATGGAATGTTGCATATGCAAATACTTATCTCACAGCAACATTCTATACTTCGCAATGCTGTGGGTGGCAAACATCGTGCAAGCATGCGAGGGGCAAGAAGAATGTGTATGTATACAGGCATGATGATTGATGTTATTTTTGAATGGGGCAAGGGAATATTGAAAAATCCCATCAAGTAGTACAAATATGATATTTACCTGTAGGTAGAAGTAATGAGAAAGACATGCTAAAAGATCCACATGATCAAGATATAAAATCTATAAACAAATAGATCATGTGATGTTTCATGATCTAACCTGATCTCTTCGGTATTTCGCTAGTGTTATGTGTAAAGAAATGGAAACATGTTGTTTAAAAAGATTAATAAAATGTGGTAAAATCTTGCATTCATAAAATTATATATCTTTAGAGAAAAAAACCAAGGAGATTAACTCTCACCATATATTTAAACTTTGAGACATTGGTTTCTACCGTAGCAATCTCCGTTATATCCGTTATATATAGTTACAATAATCACCCTGTTTGCAACAATAACTTGGGCCTCTTGTAACAAGTATATATGTGTTTACGTGATAAAACTAAAATGTATATTAGCACTAACTCAGAATGAGGAATACACTCTCACTCGCCATCATCACGATCATATTTCTGGTGGTATAATATATAGATATCTTCTCTTCCTTCGATGAGCATTCAATCAAATGAGCATCAATTGAATCTAGATTAGTTTCATTTTCATACATAGTTAATAGAGATACAAACGAATAGACAAATTGATAAGACACAATGAATTCAAAACACTTGCTAGGACCCAACATGAAGTTTTTTCAAACGAGAAGACCCTCCAGAACTCCTACGTCAACCATGTTCCAAAACGAGTTTTTGTATCTCGATAGTTGACGGCTATAATGTGTAGAAAGTGATTGCCCCTATTTGGACGAAGTACTACTATGAGAGTACTTTTGAGGCTTAAGTGTTTCCCAATAACCTACTAATGATTATCGTGACAAGATGCATTTCAAAATAAATTGATAAACTAAAGCTCAAGTCGCACTTTTATTTTGTCTTTCTTTCTTGCTGTCGTTTTGATCATTGGAAAGCTTGTTGCAATTATCAAAATTGTGACCTCCAAAGTTCCAAGAAATTTGTGGATAGTTTGTTGGTGATTTTCAAAGTTTCAAACTTTCACTAAAGAGAGTTTGCAAGGGTTTCATGAGCTCCATTGGACTGAGTTCTGTTTTTTTCGTTTGTTAGGTATAGTAGGTCCACTGGAATCAAGTCTCTACAATGATTCATACCTAGACTAGAATTGATATTGAAACGTGGGTGAAGATGGATTGTAGTTACGTCATGGAGGATTTGAAAGGAATAAATAAAATGTGTTAGGTTCCAGGAACTGGTTTGCATTTTGGAGAGTTTACATCAAGTAATTTTTTCACATAATCATGGAAAAATATGATTAATTCAAGTCAAAAAAAAACTTTAGTAAAAGATTGATCCAAAATCAATGAACTTTCATCTTTGCCACAAGAAAATGTTAATTAAATCTTTTTATTCCAAGAAATTGCAAGATACAATAGGGATGGATGTAAAGCGTGTTACAATCATATGTCCCTATAACAGATGATAAACTTATTATCTAATCAATAGAGATTAAACACAAGATCAACAATCCGATATAGATCTACTAAAATGTGACTAATGCTAGGTTTGCCAGAATTAACTTAATTCTGGCATTTTGGTCATTAACATTGCGAAATCAATATCTTTTGTCAGATGTTTTTGCAATAATTCTTTTCAGCCTTTAAGATTGCTTCGCATGCATAATGCCCATCATAAAAAGGCTAATCAAGCTAGTGCGAAGTTTAGAACCCTAAACCCTAAACCCTCCCATTTGATGATGAAGAAGTTGTTTTCAACTTGTTTTCAAGTTGTATTTAGAAAAACTAAATAACTCACAATGATCAAAACAAACATGGTATAGAGACTATATGAAAGAAAAAAAATGAATGAAAGATATGAAATGTACATGAGAACTTCTGTTACAACCAAGAAAAGACTCACAATGATCAAAACAAACAAGCTATAAAATTGATATGAAAGTAAAAAAAGTAAAAGAAAAGTATGAAATGTATTGGACACTTCTATTCAACCAAGAAAAGATTCACATTGATAAAAACAAACAATCTTACTGAAATTATTTTGATAGAAAGAAGTTATATTTTTCTTACTTCTTCTCTTTCGTGCACAACTTGCTCTCCAATATTGAGTTTGTAATACAAACATTTGTACAAATGTTCTCAAAGTTGCACAATTTAGAATTGAACTCAAGTTTGTGATACAAATATCACCATCAAATTCAAGCTCATGCACTCATGGTCTATATCGGAAGCAAGCATTATTACCCTAACTTTCTCCATTAAGCCTTCACTTTGCATGCATGCGCGGGAGTTACTTGTGGGCATGTGGAATTTTGGCAACTGGCCAATTAATTTCTGCAAATCTAGCATCTAAATATAGAAAGTCAAATTTTACGTGGTTATGGTCTAATATCAAGAAACTGTACCTGAAATGCAAAACCTAAGTTGACCAACAATATCATATGGATGAATAAAATTGATGTGTGGATTTAAACGACGGTTACAATGAAAATGTTATAAAGGTAGCCACTAGTTATTTATTCTAATTATAGTTCACACTACAAAAATTATATAAATTATTTAAAAAGTGAGATCTACGTTTGGTAAGAATCATCTAATTTCAAAATCAATATAGTTCTGGTGTAGCCATTGTTTCTGTTCCCGATACTTCTACGTCAAACACACGAAGAAGTCATTATTTTAGACATAAAATGAAACATATTTGAGTAACATCACATAACTAATAATAAATAGCGTCACATTATAGAAAGATGAGAGATGATTAGCATAAATTTAGGTACAACTAATAATTATTGTTATAAATAGAGAGTACAAAAGATTATGTATCTTATTATACATAGATAGATATATGTACAAAAGTTCAGAATTTAACATTTGCGACACAAGTGGGACCGAGAGAAAATTTGGAGAATATACAACATTTGGACTCATACAGATGTTGTGCTAATTCAACTTAGAGGAAGCTCACACCAGGAAACTCAGGGCCTTCCTCCTTCTAGACGTCCGCAAGTCCTTGGAACGCTCGGAGTATTGCCATCCCATCTAATGTTCCACAATCCTCAGATTAGATTCCTCGCTCCCCAGCGAAATCTGGAAGTTTCGGTGACAATCATATTCGATTCAAGATAGCTGACTCCAGAATTGGTCTTCTCAGAAGTCAGCCAGCTGGCGGAAGTAAGATTGACCTATTGTCCACCGCGTGTAGTAGAAACCTTCAATAGTGCCAAATAGAATAGATTACAGAATTTGCCCGCCATGACTCCGCGTTGCAGATCGTTCTCGACCCTCAACACGTGCGCGGATCGCCATGGGCTCCATGGACACGGTAGTGCTTTGCTGGTCAGCTGTAAGTTTCCACAGAAACGTACACTGGAGTAGTGCGAGTCTTTTCGTCAAGAAAAATATAATCCTCTCTTCTGTGTGACGAGGACTTTTCATTGATGTTAATCACCTTAAGCTTCACATGTGGCGGATATGGCTCGTCAAAAGTTGTAAGGCTTCGAAAGGTATTTTCTGGCCGTCGTCACATTGACTACTCTTTGACTAAGGACAGAAGTGTTGTCAGACTGAAGAGTTTAGGCTCGAATTGGAGTCCTCATGCTCGACTCGGTTCTTATCTATGGAAAATAGCCCACTTCGGAAAAATTTAAATAATCTTATATAGATATAGTTGAAAACGAGATACCACCATTAAATTCTAATCATTTATATATTACAGTATTCAAGATAGACAACGGATTGAGTATGTAGAAAGTGGTCTAAAAGATGCAAAATTACGAAATTGACGTATAGGAAAGAAACAAACGGATTTGCATTC